GTCACCATCAAGTGACGTCACTACCTTCGTTTGTAGGTCGTGACGTCACGAGACCTATCGTCGTCGACGTCATACGTGTATGACGTCAGTGCATGGCTGCATATTTTTCCGAGGTTGCGTCACGTTACGTCAACTCGGAAATGTGCGGTCACCATACTGGCTTTCCGCCCATCACGGTCAGATACACGCGAAGCATGATCTTTGGACAACCTACTTAGGACAAGATGTATAGCACGCTGTAATGCTAAAGGGCAGATTTTAAGCCAAACCACATGCGCGAGAACTGCGAGAACTATTTCATCCAAAACAATCTTATTATGAACAGAGCTCCTATCAAGAACTCTGAATTTTTTGAATTTTTTTGAATCTCATCAGTGCCTCATTAGGAGTCATTAAAGGGAAACGTTCGTCAAGCAAGTTCTCAGGTCCAAACAAAATCTTAAACTCTTATCAGCCTTCTTAACCAAAACAATTGGTGAACTGACAGTTGATGTACTAGGTTCCACTATACCTTGACCCACCATTGATTTAGTTTCTTCATCAACAATCTTATCGGCGTGAGGACCAAACTGGCTGCGACTCAAATCTGCATTCGGTTTAAGTATAAACATGAATGTTTGGCCATTCACCTTGCCTAAACCTGTGAACAGTGTATCTTTGTATTCTCTGAGCAATGCTATCAACTTTTCCCGGTGTAAATCATCCACAGGTCCTATGTTAAACTTCGGATCGCTTAAATCCCTCTGTTATGAAGTTGAAGGTGTATTTGAAATGTCAACTCCATCAACTTTCTTATTGGAGAATAGGGGTACATTTCCTTTGAAAGTTATTCGTCTAGACAGGATTATCAAATATTGGCTTAAGATTTTGAGAAGTAAACTAGATAGATACATAGTTTTGATATGCAATTCATTATGGAATAGTTCAAATGAGTGAGTGAGTGAGTGAGTATGGTTTTACGCCGCTTTTTAGCAATATTCCAGCAATATCACGGCGGGGGACACCAGAAATGGGCTTCACACAGTTCAAATGAGAACCCTGATGTTGAAAATTGGGCAAGATTATTGAGAGATACGCTCTTCAGGTTTGGTTTTGGTTATATTTGCCCAATATCTTCCTGAAAGTTGTGATTTTGTGAGAGAATTTACACAAAGGGCTAAGGATATTTATTCTCAAATATGGAAACATGAATTATCAACTTGTATCTTCATATTAAGGAAACTCTGTGCATCGAGAAATATTTAACTAAAATTGATGTTAAGAGTGAGTGAGTGAGTGAGTATGGTTTTACGCCGCTTTTAGCAATATTCCAGCAATATCACGGCGGGGGACACCAGAAATGGGCTTCACACAATGTGCCCATGTGGGGATTCGAACCCGGGTCTTCGGCGTGACGAGCCAACGCTTTAACCACTAGGCTACCCCACCAGCCCCTTGATGTTACACGTTTCCGTCTCAGTTCACGTATGCTTATGATTGAAAAAGGAAGATGGAGTGTGCCTAAAATCCCACTTGCTGATAGATTATGTCCCTTTTGTACTAACGAAATAGAAGATGAGTACCACGTACTCTTGATTTGTCCAAAAATATCGAGAAATACGTAAACAACATTTAGGAATATTTTATTGGAAAATATAAGTATGCTTAAGTTAATCAAATTGTTAAAAGTGAAAACAGTTTTGGAAGTATTGAAAGCTGCAAAGTGTATTTATTCTTATCTTAAATGAAAGAAACAAAGTTGAATTTTTGTAAATCGTTCACACATATCCTCACTCTTGGGCAATAATAATGATAATAACAATATGGATTGCTGTCTATATATTTGAATTCATAGCCATACTTTTGGTATGAATATTCAAATTATCTATATTGTATTGGTCTTTGACCTAATAAAAATCGTGTCTTGTCTCGTCTTGTCATTGCTGCTTAACTCTCGATGTTTTTGCCCACTAGATTAGTGATACAGTTTGAAATAGCGAGCCATGGCACCTCATTGACAGAATTAGGCAATACATCTTTGGATAAGGGTGCTGATGACAATGGTGTTGAATGACTCATGATGGGTGCAGTTCACGGGTGAAGCTGCCTCGGCTTCGCATGCTACCTTTTTGCAGGTTGTACATATGAGGACTTGGATAAGAGTGGATGACAGCATAAGTCCACAAAGGCAGCAGCACGAGATACTGTCTGATGTTTGTTATCAATGTGACCTCTTATAGGAGGCCTGAGATGAGGGAAATGCAGTTGGTTTGTCTGTAATGTTTTGCACCTTCCAATAACACTTCTAATTTCAAAATTTAACGCTTGCTTACTCATGAATAGCGGCATCTGGTGAGTGCTCGATAGCCTTTACAGCCTTGTCTTGTGGTGACCGGAAGCGGAATCGATCCACAGCACTCTTTGCTGTTCGTAAAGTCTTATTATCCTCCTGATAGGATACGTCCAAAACCTTCGAAGTCAATTTAATCTATCAGGTGGGAATATATGTGTTTTAAATGTGTGGCTTTGTCTAGAATTGCTTTGAAATTTGAAGTTTGGACAGAGTCACGAAAGCGGTTCATGCACGAAGCAATGTACTGTACCAGTCCCACGATAGTCCCTAGTATAGTGATCTACCTTCAGTTGTGGGCGATCTATAGCCTGTTTATTAATTGCAGGACGTCTTCTATAGTTAAACTGTTTTAGATTAAATTACTAGTTATAGTTATGCGATTGTCTAGTTGTTTTGCTGTCGATTGTTGACAGAGTGTTTATAATTTACACCCAATTATTATAAATCTATAACTTGATTTTACTACGATGTTGCTGAAATATTGCCGGTGTGATTCTTAGATACTTAACTCACTCACTCACTCACTCATAAAAGTCAGAAGCGGAATTAGGGCATCTAACGTGAGTTGCCGCTCGCAATGACCGATGGAGGGACGAGATCCTGTTGGGCAAGGGGCGCTGGGCGGCATTTCCTTTTGCACCTTACACCAGTTTGACCCTGACTTCGCAAGACGGGTGATAGGAATGGGCAGTTCAGCCGTCGGCTGTGCACGAAAGCCCTGTTCATAATGACGTTTTGGGTGCGGACGGACTGTTTTAAATCATTAATATGGTGGCGCTGGTGCAGCCGGGGTGGGGCTGGGTTTAATGGGTAATGTTTTGCTATTGCTGTATGCAGACATTGTTTGAAGCAATAGTCGTTTGAAGTTTGCAAGTCTCCGTAGTATGTCATCGGTATGGTTCTGATTGTGAAACAGATTGCAAGATGATGGCGCAAATCACCGCTTCACCAAAAGGATGCACTGTGAAACGAAAACCGTTCCTGAAGGCATGGAACTCGAAATGCTAATTCAACGAAAATAAACCTAACGTATTTGTTTTATCCGAGGACGGATTTTGTGAACCAGCTAACTGCTAATCATATGGGCTACCTATTGGAATAAACCGTTGATCATTCAGAATGGAGGCCCACGCTCGAAGCGTTTGCGAAACAACTGGGCCTCAAGAAAAGGAGAAACACTCGACCTGGGGAGGAGGAGGACGTCTTCCGTGTATGTTCTGTTCACCAGAGACGCGTTTTCGCAAATACCTGAAATCAGACAAATCCCAATCATCCCATGTTTTTCATAATTTCAGCAAAGACGCATTTGAATAGAAGAATAAATGGACACTAGCACACTTAGCACATGAGGGCAGCGATGACAGCTTCCAAATCTATGCATGTATATCGCGACTGCATGCTGATACCGGCACATTTGGATTTTGTTAAAGCGCACCTCAATAGATTATCCCTTACAGGCTGCGTGACGGGTTTTATGGCGGTTGAACTGCATTGCATCAGGGTTCTATTCTCCTGAACTTTGTTAGCCATGGATATGCTCATGTTTTGTGGAAAGATCACGGGTACAATATTACTCTATTGGACTGCGGAAACTTAATGGGAAAGATCACAAGGGAACATATCTGATTACGTTGTGCTTGCGAAAGAATAGTTTATAGGACAACATTTTGGCTGTGTAACAAAGAAGTTCTTACATCATATTGTGATAACTAAAGATTACAATAAGCTATTATAATAATAGAAATGTTTTGGATAAAATGTTGCAAATGAGATACCGCATTCAACTAGCAGATTCGGGACTGGCACTTTAAGAACATCAACGGTAAACTGATATTTATAAACTAATGTTCTTCTTGGCACCCCAATCAGATTTTGTTAATGTTTCCAAACCAAAATTGTTACCGGCTTTGAACGATCGGCATCTTTTAAATGTATTAAGCGCATGCATTTCTTAATCCTGTGGCACAAACGGCGAATCGCTCAAATTCGTTTTTGTAAACGCTTATTGAGGAAGGGAAAGCGACCATGCGAAGTATGGTGGAGACTGGACTAAAACCTGTTACATTTTCGGGTGGCGCTTTATTTACCAAGAAAATATGAAATCTGGCAAGGAAACGCATAACGTATATTAGCACATACATGCAATCTGTAACGAAAGCGAAGCCGCAGCAGCTGTCAGTGCCATACAAAACTATACAGTGTACAACTGGCGATGACGTTGCCGCTGAAGGTGATGTCTGTACAAGTCCCAACATAGAGAGGTATATATGAGGAGTGGCAATGGTCAATCACAGTTGTCTCCTTCTGGGGCTTACTTCCCACAAAGAAACTGGCTTTTCGGGATTTAACTGACTTAGTACGGATGCTGTTTATTGTGTCGGCGCGTGCGTGCGCACGATGATATTGAGAAGAGACTAAATGAGTGAAATCAGGTTGCTATGGTACTGGGTTAGCTTTAGCAATATTCTGACGAACTATGCATTTGGGGAATTTGAAGGGCGGGATTACGTGGCACGACTTACCAAGCAGGGAATTGCGAAATGGGTTGCCAGTATTGCGAATACATGCTAACGTCTGAAACGGCTAGAGGTACAGTCCACGGCACCGGCATACTCGATTTGTTCAATTGCAAATTGACGTTTCTGCTGGAAGCTTTGGGTGTGATGATGGCGATTGGCCAACAGTTATTTTGAGAACAACGTACAAATATTTCTAGAGGTGGATGTTTTGAGTGGTGGGTAAATGAATGTGGATTTTTTCAGAACAAATAATCGACTTCAAAAATATGTGGGATTGGACCCTGGTTTTCAGTGTGACGAGGGCGGATGAAATGAGTGAATGGTAAATGATGGATGGTTTAAACCTCTGAACACAACTTGAAAGCTGGTAATGAAAAGAAACATTCAGAATCTATTCATCTGCGGGGTGTTTGGTGGCGTAAGACTCAGTTTCCTTGTCCTGGACGGGTTTGTCACGCGCGGCAGCAGGACAACGATGTCAGGCGTGCTGGTAATGATTTGCAGAGGGCAGGAAGAGGACGTTGCTCTCTCCAGGTTGCACGCACTACATGCATAGACGTTAGGCTTTAACTTCCGGTTCATCTGAATCAGTTGCTCCCGCTGGTCTGAGCCAGAATTGAAGGGAATTGCGGGTTAGTTAGGCTCCTTACAGTTAGAACAGTGTATTTCAATTTATATCAAGCTTGATGTCGAAGGGAATACCCGACGTGATGCAGATCTAAGGCCTTACTACATTCGAGGGAAACCACAGCACCAGCCGCCTTCAACCACAACTTTGAATGGAGCGGACAAATGTAGAAACATCGTCTAGTATTTGAACCCAGAGTTTTGCTCACATAAGGGGCGTTACTACCCGGCGAATTGCGGGCGCTTGGGCATCGGCCTGGGGATACTGTGTAAATGTTCATATACTGGTTCCCAGTAACTTCCCACAGACCTACGAAGATAACGATGCGGTACATATAAACGGCCTTTGAAGAGGTTTAATTGGCGCTCTTCTGTTTGAGTTCAGCGCTGCGGCTTCGTGGTGGCGAACCACAACCTTATCTCATCTGCTCCGTAGTGACCTTAAGGGGACATTATTCGTGACTCTGTTCGAACCTGACCGTCGTATGTTTCACGTAGAACCGGCAACTTTAAATGCTGTAATGCGTAACGATAAGTGTTTTGTTGTAACGGGGCAGAATATTTTAACATTTAGACAGATATCATCAGAATTAATTTGGCCCCAGAATTTTAGATTTGCGTGGGCGCTCTCAAACATCTGCGGAAGATGAATTTTGTTTATCGAAGCGTCAGTGGGCTGAATGATCTTCAACTCCCGCACTGCTTTAGACTTGACTTGTTCTTCACGTGCGGGGAGATGGGGCCCTGGCTTCGAGAGTCACAGATTTTTCTGCAGTCTTTGTTCTTACCCTTGAAATCAATTTCCTGCACAAATACGTTGACATGTCCGAGTGGGATCTGACCAGGAAAATAAATGGCAAAATAGTACATATAACGGTAGATAATGTGCAATGTTAAAAGAATGGGGAGTTGAGTTAACCTTAGTAAAGGTTGCTTCGTGAAAAGGGCCTGTACAATCAACATAAAACAGAATGTATTTGAGATGGATTGACAATGCTCCCATGTAAATGTATAGTCAAGCGACCAACAGGGTAGGCCGAAACATGGGATATTATTACATACATCGAGAGTAATATCAAAACATATTGGCGGTGTTGGCCTCTCTTCGAGGCAGCAGTAAGTCGCCAGCCTAGTCCACCAGTTTGGCATTACTCTTTTTTTCGGGCAGATATGCTTTAAATGGCTGTGCTACTTGCTACGGAACGGTGAAGCCTCCCGTTATGCTGGCGGGCGCGGACGCAATGACCACGGATATAACGCGAACAAATTATGCTAATTCGACAAACTTCGTGGGTAATCAGGTCCTGTTCTCGCCGAACCAGCGTGGTGAGGTCTGGAAGGACGGCACCAAAATTAACCAGGAAGGCCTGGAACGCGGCCTGTATATATGCCGTTCTACTCCACTCGTTCATAGTTCAAATTTCCGATAAGATTTTGGTATTTACGCAAAAGGAGTGAATGGGTTTAGCATAGTTTTGATGCCGTTTTTGATGAGTCAGTGTCAATAGAGAGTATTCTTTGGCTAAGAATATAAATAGTAGAAAGATACATAGGCAAAATAATCCAATGTAAAGGATTCCTTTTCTTGTGTTTGCAGGCTGGGGACAAAATCATTGAACCCCCTCCCTTCCGTAATTTCTAAGTATAATTTAAACATTTTCAGGTACAAAGGTGCTGACCTCCTAGTAAGTGTATACAAAATTGCTGGAACCCCACCCACCCCGAAAATCATCACCACCCCATAAATCATTAACGGTCCTAAGGCACATAGTAATAAAGTAGTGGCAATGATTTTACTATACCTTTTCTTGACTCTCGGCTGCAACAGAAAACGAAGATACATGAAAGAAGTGGGACGTTCGTGAACGCATTCAGACTGGAGTTTGAATAGACATCCCTTATAACCCCATTGCCGCGATGCCACAAAACGGCTGTAATTTTGTCACCCATGCTTGAGCTCAAGGCAGGGCAACAAATACCCTAATGTGCAGCCCTTCTCCGGACGGCGCTGAGCGTGAGCATCTGCAGAAGAAAGTGAGTGGTGAGACATTTTTTACGCCGTTCGGCAACGACTATAGCGAAATTGCCGGAGTTATACAGAAGCCGACGTACTTGGTACTGTGAAGAATCTACGAAGACACCGTGCTTGACCAAAATAATAATTATAGTATGGAGCGACCTCATTATTCAGGCTGACCCACGATCATGGTTCTGGCACTACTACGGAACCAGCACCATCGGTCCGGGCCATCCATTGCGTTTCTTAGAATAAAACTACAATGATGGAAAAATCTCAAGATCTGGTGGATTACCGCCAACAGGCTGACCGACTGGTGACAATCGGTGCGTATGTGGGATTCGCGCACTAACAATAAGAGAGTGGCACAGGTACGTACGTACAATCCTTGTGTCACTACTGAAATGACCATATATAGACGGAATGATAATCTGTCACCAGGCGGACGTTTACCGTAGATTTCGCACAGCATGAAGTTCCGTTGCACCTTCTCCGGGAATGCATCATGGGCGGATGTCCCCGCTGTTTCTGATATGGTGTAGATATCAAGGGGCAGGGTCAAGGCAGATGGGACAGCGCCCCTATCTTAACAGCAAAGGCCCTGTCTTCAAAACACACTAGCTACAGTCCTGATTTGTCGCGAAATGGCCTCTAATTGGCGATTGCCGGAACAACGGCGGTGAAACCTCATCGCCCGCCGCCAACACCAGCCACACTTAACGCTGTCGGTTGGCGACCTCCTTTAGTATTGAGATTGGCTTTAAAGTCCATGCTCTTGAGGACCTGCTGCAGCAACTCCTTGTCATTCAGGAACCTTAGATATCTGTAGAAGCATGTTGGTGGTATTCTATGTCTCTGGCGGCATTGGCTTCGCCCGGAGGCCTTACTCCTGAGATTCTACCGCGGTGGTGCTACGGCTCTGCGGGCGCTAGGATTTAACTTTGGGGACAAAACCGGTAGCGGTTCGATTCTTGTGAAGGATAGAAGGGTACCGCAATGAGCACCAGCTTAACAACGGACCAGATGGCTACGATCCTGTTGGAAGCGAATGTCAAATTAGCGATTCTGAGTATTTAACGGGTATATCAAGTTCATGTGTTGGGCAGGAACCAAATTATTACTGGTGACACGTTCCTTCTCCTCGGCTTCCTTCACTCCTCTTGAAGCAGGATAAGGTACCTTCGGACAGCGCATCACTGGAAGAATAAATACTGGAATACTGAAGTAATTCGTTAAAGGGTTAAATGGTCACTGTTCCTGGTGTTTTGTTTATGAGCAAGATTAGTACCTCGAACAAGAAGCTTCTGCATCCCTCGAAGACACAATGGACTCGATAGCTTTCGGAACTGGATTGGTTGCAAAATTGTCAACAGGTTTCTTCAGAACAGGTCTTACAAAGATAATTTGGCTTAAACTGAAAATTGATGCATTCCTACCAACTGGAGATCGCCTCTGTTTTAACACGATAATTAGGTTCGCGGGGTACTGTCTGGATGATACAAAACATTTCGAAAAATATCTTTGATTAGCCAAGTCAAATACGAAGAGTATTTTTAACGGAAAAGGCAATATGAAATAGTGAAGCTTACATATGCTGGACCAATCGGAACGATGCTCATGTAAATCTATTCCCGGACCAAATTTTTGTCAAATGTGACGGTTTATGGCGTGACACCAACGCCCATAACAGTGGGCGATATCAATTTAATGCCACTATTGATTTAGGGAACTATATGTTTATACAGGTATTATTGAAATTGCTTTGGTATGGTATCGGCAGGAAGAAATGGAAATGCAGGATGAGAGCTGGCTGACTTGTACCACCACGCTGAACTTGGGGTGGCGAGTGAATTGGGTTGAGTTTAACAGTGCTTTAACAATTTCAGGTATAATAAAAAGCGTAGCTTAATAAGAAGGAGGAATGCCCAGAAGTGATGAATACTGGAGGTTTTGGGCACCCCGACATAAAGCGATCAGCTAGCGCTAAGGTGATCGCAACTCATTATCAAACGCAAACAGTCGCGCTACGGTCGCTGGCTGGGCCTCTGGTTCGTGAAACTTTCAAACACGGGCATGGCGACCGAAACACAATCAGGGTAAACCAGGATTCGAACCTACAATCATAGATTTCTGATAAGGTTTTACGATCAACACAAGCCTCGCGGCACTTTCGGAAGTAGGGAGTGTAACAACAGGTTAAGGTAATGTATACATTGCGATTATCAGGCCAATGGCGGCTTACATCGTGGAGAGCTGATACTAACAATTGAGTGAAAATGACACGCCAGCACTGATATCAGTATTTCAAAATGGGAAGAAACCGACATAACGTTTAGCATGGCTGACGCTATGAATCCCAGTTGATTTGAGGCAATGTCGGTAGGTATTATTCGTTGTTAGGTTTGGTTGCTACCTCCAACTCTAATACATGCATCAGAGTACAGTCATAGAAGAATTCGCCTTGAACTGGAAAGAGACAAACCAGTGACTGATATTATGAGCAAAGTTCTATGGGGCACGGCAACATACAACCAGATAAGAGATCAATGGCTGATTACCAGATCCGTTTTGCGAGGACTCTGGTATGACGCGTGTGGTTCTGAGTCTACCTAGTGGTCCACACGGGGAGTAAATACCTAGCAAGATAAGGAAAAGTGAATGGTAAAATGGTTGAAATTACAAAAAGTATCTTCGTAGACTTGGGCGGATCTTCATGGACACAGGTCGTTTTGTTGTCACAATACGAATAGCATTTTTGCACTGGGCTGGCTTCTTTTTATCAAATGGTTTGCTCAAAGGGCAAAGTAGGTCTTTACTTCACCAATCTGAATGCACCTTTAATATTTTTAACCAATTGGGGAATTTAATTATGAAAAAATTATCTGTGTTTCGATTTGTCAGTTTTAGGATCATTTTGCGATTTCGCATTCTCGCAAGAACCGCAGCGTAAACTCTGAATTTACGTTGCTCCTTTCCATGAAAGCTGAGACCTACCTACAATAATCGATTTCTGGAATCAAAGGGCTTCTCCCCAACCTATCAAAAGCGAAAGCAAAACGGGCTTGCTTCAAATGAAGAAAGCTTACACCTTGCATGGATGTATAGAAATTATGTTCAATAGACCAACGACTCGAAAGCGATGTTAATTTTGTTTCATTATGCTCTGTAAAGGTGGTGGTGCAGGCGGAGGTTTGTATTCAATGAATGGAAACAGAGCGGAACTGGAATAAGTTACCTCGGTAAGTTTTCGTTCGGTTGCTGTACGGTCTACCTGCAGCGACACTCAGACTCGAGTCTCAATCGGCCTGAACATTGTTTAGTTAGTAGAACCCATTCAGTAGCAGATTTTGTTGGCTGCGCTCGGCTGAAACGTCACTACGTTTCCGTCTGGAAGACTTTAGCCAGAACTTACATTGACCGGCAAGCACGATAACAGTGACTTATCTGCCAACCTGCTGCTGCGTAAATACAAAGTCACATTGTCGCCGAAAACCAGCGCGAATATGCTCCAGGAACGCATGAAAATTGCGCAAATATTGTATTGTTATGCATGATGTTTAATGTGATCATGTGACCTCCACTTTTGTCACGTGGCATGGTAACGCCGGTGCAGTTTCAAGTGTACGATATACGCGAACGCGGGATGTTTAACCAGACGACGACGCTGGATATTATACCGATATTACTGTTTTGCTATTTTAATCAAGAAACCAAAACATGCGATAATAGCGTAATTTCCAAATTCAGCGGGTTGCTAGCAGGGATGACGGAAACTAATCACCATCACTGTTTATTCGCCTTATTTGCTGCGGCACTTTATTGCAGTAACGTTTCGCTGAGTATCAGCCTGTATATTTCCGGCAATGGCTTCACCACGAAAACAAGAGGAGTGCGCCAGTGAGTTTAAACAACGACACCGACAGCAATTGTTAGAACTACCCGAATAGAATGGGTTTATGGGCGGGTTTTGAAGTGTTGACATCGCTGGGAACAGCGCGTCTTGAAACAAATGTTGATTATTGTCAAAAGGGGCGGATGCGAGCTTTGGGGTTTTGGCTGAAAAGGAGAATTGCACTTCATTTTCACCCAGTTTCAAGGGTCATTTAACAAACTTCAACTACCAAAAAGGGGTTTAACAGCGCTCCTCTGGATCCACCTGTGAATGTGGGTTGGTTTAGCTTTACGCCTCTTTAGCAATATTTCAGCAATCGGCGGGAACACCATAAATGGGCGCCACTCATTTGTGTTTACATGGAACTGAGCTTTGAGTCTTCAGAGTAACCAGCGAACGCATTGGTTTTGGGAGATGGCGTGGGAGGTTGGTATGGGACTAGGAGATGGTATCGCAATGTTACACTTCAGAATGGCTGGATGGTCCGAATTACAATTAAAGACCTAAGAGCCAACGTACAAATAATTCATTTGGGCGTTTGGGGTATGTTGTATGGCTATGAGTATCCAGTATTACAGCAATGGTAATCTTTATGTATCTCGGCGATATCTTTTGTTGGACATAGAATGCAAAATTTCATTTTCATTTTCGAACTTTTGCTCTGGCTGCTTCACCATTCAACCACTATGTTGGCACAGGAAAGTTGATGACACGTTCTCATCTGGAGCAACCATCATGACCCCAATGCTCCTGGAACCGCCTCAATAATCAACACCTAGAATTAAGTTTACGATGGAAACAGGCAGCATAACAACCCCGCTTTCTTGGACATCGCCATTGACAGCTCAAACAGCAGCTCATCACGTGGTCTTCTCGCGACCTACCCACACAGACCAAATATATTCACTATCATCGTTGCATCCCGAATCAAGGGAAAGCTAAATACCCATCTCGCTTTCGTAAAGCATGTTGGACATCAATACCAATAGCGACCTGAAGGAAAAACCCATTGCTTATTGACACACTTTCTCGTCTGCTTAGCAAAACCGCATAAAACTTTGCGCATTACGCAGTGGAGAGATTCTGGCTCGCATATCCAACCTAAAGGCTGTGTGTATAAACTGAAATGTGACTGTGGTGACATCTACATTGGTGAGACAAGCAGACCAGTAGCTACACGTGTGAAAGAACACAAAGAGCTTCAGTGGACAAATCAGATCTGAAATCTGCGGTTTCGAACACATCATGAATAATCCCGATCATGAAATTGACTGGGAAACTGAAGTCCTCGCAAAAACATCATTGACGCGGAAGCGCAGTTGGTGGAAATATCTTCATCAAACGCACGGGGCAAGCAATGAAACGGGGATCAGGGTATCTACTCTGAAATGCATCGGTATAAAACCATAAGACAATACCTACGCAATCCTGTTCCATGTATAAAGCCTCGAATTTCTATGTACACTGCTGTTACTTTACATTCTATACACGTTTTGCCGAGAAGCCGTCTCTGTACATTTCGTATTCGGCAATTTTGTATAAAGTATCTGCTGAGTTCAAAATTGGTCGACGAACGTGGGCATCTTGTGGTCTTGTAACATGTATTCATTAAGCGCTGTCATCTGTTTATTGACCGCATGTATTTAAATCGTCATAGCATTGTAGCTGTGACGTCATAAAGCATTGATGCGGCTGGTGCATTTCCGGTTTACCTGATGATGGGGCCAGAACAAGCCCTGAAACGTTGTGCTCGAGAATAAAAGGCGGAAAGATCTGTTTAGTAAATATCATCTTCATAAATGTAATCAAGCATCTAGATTACAGACAACTTTTTAGGAAACACAAGCGGGTATTTAGGCGGTTATAAATATTTAACTGTTATGCTATTCATGGGGTTACCGCCAAATTCAATTCCGGAAATTTCGACGGCAATTGGCTGACCCGGTAATCCACAATCACTTAGTTCCCAGAGGCCATATTATAAGTTGTATGCTTCTCGGGAGACAATTAAGCTTTGGAACCGATGTGCCGCTCTTCTTAACTTAGTGTCACGCTGAGCGGTAGGCGAACACCTCAACATTAGCATTTCCGAGCCGACCAGTTCTTTGGCTTCGTGGACGGGATGGCGGAATGATCAACCATGGCGTCGCGGTAGCAGGCTTTGATAGGGGATGAACCACGGGCGCTCCCGGAGCGGACGCTCTAACTCACTACATACAGGGCGGTCACGGAACGGGTAAGCTCGGGCGACTGGCACAACAATAGCAGTGATGTGTCTGAATATTCAGACAAACGTTTGATGACAACTTTGACATTGATCATCCCAATGACTGAAAGAAGACTCGAGAGGGCATTGTGTCTGTGTAGCCTGGACAGCTGTCTACGGGACTGTTATTCACATAATATGAGGAAACCTTGTTTAAAGATTGTTTGGTATAAATAAAATGGCTTTCTTATTTTGACATTAACGACATTTCGGGCTGAAGAATGATTTCGTGGAATTTAAAGTAACCTTTCGGAAACTGGGCTGTAGCCCGACATGCTAGCACGATCTGGAAGCTTTCCCCGCACACTGCTGATGGTGCGTGTTGCTGGGCGCCTGGGCCTTCGGTTGCCAGATGTATGAAACCGTACTGATCGGTTGGTGCCTGCGTGATTGTATCCGAATTGCAGACTAGTACTTGCACACGCTTACACGCACACACACACACACACAGAAAGTGACCTTGAACGCGACGTTAAACCCCATTTCACGTAGGTAGGTAGAGAGGAAGTAGATGGCAACTGGGCTTTAGTGAAATATGTATCATGTACTTTTAATTGCGTAGCTGGGACAGAATATATATAACATAATGAAATCAAAATGGTATCACATTGGTTGAGACGACATTCTAAAAGCTCTGAACAGGACAACTTGCCTCATGATAATTCACGAATTTGCGGTATGAATACGCAATAGGGAGGGGAAGTGTAGTATCTGTTATATTAGGAATGTTTGAAATTCAACTGAATTCCCAGAGCAAAGGTGAGAACATTTTGAGGTTCAGGTACCTAGGATCCAAACAAATATGATAGAGTTCGACATCTCATAAGCCAGTACGAAATTCAGCAGCGATCTAACCCACCCTGCCAATACCTGGCGTCTGACAACTGGTAGTCCACATAGCATACTCGATTTGATACTTGAGTATCGCCAATGACGGTTTTCCTGCCATGGCTGAAGCTTTGAATAAACAATACCATCATGATTGGCCAACAGTTACCAGAAAGGGAGCAACGTACAAATATTTCTAGCGATAGGTTTTGAGTGGTGGGTAAATGAATGTGGATTTTCTTTCGTCAGAGCGTTGGAAACAAATAATCGACTTCAAAATATGTGGGGATTGGACGCTTTCAGCGTGGCAGGGGCGGACCGATAATTAGATAATTTTTGGGAGTGGATGGTTTCAAACCTCTGAACACAACTGCCGCAGAAAACTGGCGATGAAAAAGAAACGTTTCAGGAATCTATTCATCTGTAAGGGTAGATGGCGTAGGTCATGAACAACTTTGTGAGACCGGGGGTGTTAATGCCCATACAAGACAGCAGGTCAACGTATCCAGGGCGACAACGGGCCATGATGTGGTTGCAGGGCAGGAAGAGGACGTTTGCCATACATACTAAAGCGCACCATGCATAGACGATGAGCTTTAACTTCGGTTCATCTGGATCGGATTTTATGAGTCTGTGGTAGAATTGAAGGAATTGAGTTAAATTCAGGTTCGGCACGGATTCGAGAACAAATTAGACCATTTCATCGGCGCGATATTATCAAAGGGGTACCAGGCGGAATTGCCAGATCCACAAGGCCGCGCACCACATTCCCGGAAGCCGACTAGCCGCCTTCAACGGTTCGAATACCGGAAGAACGATATTTGAACCCAAAGGTTTAACCGCATAGGGCGTTCGCTACCCGGCGAATTGCGGCACCTTAGACATCAATGGGGACACTTTCGGCGGTAGAAAAGTGCGGTAAACTCATATATACTAGTTTCCCGAAGTAAACTTGCGGACCTGCTGAAGTCTGTTCGGTCGCGCATAGTTTGACGGCTGGAAGGGTTTATTGACGTCATCTATGGCGGCTCAAATAGTATGTATCATTTAAAGGGTAACCTTATTGCGTAAAGCTCCATGCAGTAGAACCAGGACATTATATATTTATATCAAACTCGATGGAACATTTCGTCGTATGTATTACTGACAACCAACTTTAAATGCCAACATGGGCATGCTGACAAATATTTCTTTCTTCGCGTGAAGGCGGAAGTTTAGAATATTTGGCATGCGGAACGATACGCCATCAAAATTATTCGTTTTAGATTGTCAGGGTTACCATGTGATTTGTGCATGTGCATGGACATCTACACTGAAAGAAGTCCTGGACTTTAGAATCGCCGCAGCTTTGAATAACGAAGTCGCTTCACCACAGGCTACGAACGAACATCCCGCCGGAGCAGGTTCGGTAGGCTGGTCGAAATGGTAGCGGCGATGATTTACGTATGAACTGATGTGCAAAAGTGAATTGCGGACGTTTGATGCTCTTTACTACAAATACGCGTTGAAAATTACGAAACGGGAAACTTGGTACATGTGTGACATAAATTACTGGTAATATCAAAACATATTCCATGGTCGCGGCATTTACTCTACTTCGGGGTAACGATAGTATAGCTGATCCTGGACGTTCACACCTTACCTTTTTTCGGGCAGATAATGCTCTTTCAATGGCTTTAATGCTGCACACGCCGGTTGCTCGTTGGTTCCTTTGTTCGCCGCACGCGTAACTGTGACCACGGCGATAGGGCAGGGAACGACGTCGCTATAACAAATTCGCTACTGCAGACAAACTGGGGCCCTCCGGGTCCATAATTTCTCCTTCATCGGCGTGGTCTGGAAGGACAACGCGGCCGTAACCAGGGAAGCAGGACGGCTATTATATGCCGTTTCGCTCCTTGTTCATAGTTCAAATTTCGACTAAGATTTTGAGTATTAACATAAAAAGAATTGAATGGGTTAGCATAGTTTGATGCCGTTTGCTGATGGAGTCAGTGTCAGCAAAGAGAGTAAGTCTTGCACATTCATGCGTACGAGGTACCTAATGGTAAGAGATACGCTACGCAAAATAGTAATGAAGGCCGTTTCATACGATTTATGGCTAGAGTTGAAATCATTGAAACACCCTCTATCCCCTGCTAATTTCTAAGTATAATTTTAAACATTTTCGAACGGTATTGCTGACCTCCCCTAATTACGTCGCGCATGGTGCTGGAGCATATCCACCGCAGAGTACTGCACCACCCACCATAAATTACCGAACGGTCCCCAGGCGCATAGTAATAAGTGAGTGACGTGATTTTGCGGATGTCCAGAAGTGACATTCAGACTGGAGTTTGAAATACGGGCATACATATAACCCTGATATGCGATCTACAAAACAGCCTGCGCGGTTTTTGTGGGGCATAATGCCAGAGAGAATTAGGTGAGTGACTTTATTTTTGCACTTTACTCGGCTATTTACGATATGGCGGCATATAAGAGAAAATTTGCCGACCAGAAACTGCGGCATTGCCCCATTTTGTGAATCTGGGGCACTGGCGATGCTTGACCAAATATTATGATATGAGCGACCTCATTATTCGAACGAACTACACGGTCTGGATTCACCGACTTTACTGGAGACGGCACCAAACTTGCATCAGTCGGGCTACATCGGCTACTACTAATACACAGAATATCAAAGGCACAATGATGGAAAAATCTCCGAATCTGGTGGACGGCTGGTGCGCCGTCAGTGCGTATATGGGATTTCGCACTAACAACGACTGAAATTGGCACAGTATGGTATCAACTCGTCCTTATTAGGTTTCCCGCTGGTGTCACAGTTATTTTAAACCGATATAGACGGAATGAAATCTCGTACTGACGGACGGATCGGTTTAAATGGTTTGTTTCGTAGGAGTTCGCAGCCCTGCTCCGGGAGTCAGCTATAATGGATGTCCACGCTGTTTCTGAATATGATGCGTCATCAGAAGGCAGGGGTCGGAAGCGGGCAACCCTATATCAGCAACAAAGGATCCACAATATCTTCTGCAAAACGCTAAGCGTTAGCGCCAGGATTTATGCCGTGAAACGCCTCTAATTGGCAAACGATTGCTGGACGCTGGCGGTGAACATAATAGCTATGCCGCGCCAGCGCTTAACCTTTGTCAGTTTGGGCGCTCGCTTCAATAAGGATAGGCTTTAAAGTCCATGTTCTTTGAGGACCCGCTGCAGCAACTCCGCGTAAACCATTTGGAACTTAGATATCTGCAGAAGCATGTTATGGTGACACTCTGGCGCTCCTCTCCGGTATTAGCTGGCGGAAAACCTCTGGAGGATTCTACCAGCAACGGTGGTGCTACAGCTCCTACCGGCGCTTGTTGGCAGGGCTAAACCCCAGGCCAGTTAAGCCCAGTATTGATGCTCGAAGGTGAAGAGGTGCCGCAATGACACCGGCAACAGTGAGACCAGTGGCTGCGATCCTGTTGAAGCGAAGGTCAAGTGGCGATTCTGGCGTGGAAGGATGGCATCAAGGTCATCAGCCAAAGGCAGACATTGTACTGATGACTGCGGTATGCTTCTCCTCGAGCAACTGGCTTTTTATAAGGATAAGTACTTTTCAGACCAGAAACTCTGCATCACTGGAGAATAATGGAATGCACAGAAAGTAATTCGTTGGGGACTGAAATGGTCACTGTTCCCTGGTGACTTTGCGTTTTACTTTATTGTCGATTAGTACCCTCGAACAAAGCTTCACCATCCCCTCGAAGACGTCTGGACTCGATAACTTCAGCGTGGTGCACGGGGTGGGGTCAGTTACTAAATTGTCAACAGGTTTCTTCAGAGCAGGTCATACAAAGTCGTTTTCCTCCTCGTCACTATCTACTGACCGCGCCCATGCTGCTGCCGCTGACTTGGCCGGAACCCCTGGCCGGGAACGAGTCTACTCCTCCCATCCGACTCCATGGACTAGCATGCCCTGGATTGCATCCCTCATACTGGGAGATGAGTAGCCACTGACATGAAGAGCGATACATGTCCGTACAAAATACATAACACAAGATAATTGTTCCACATACAATGGATTGTTTGCATCAGCAGTCAGAAATTGTTTGAATTCACATGACAGAAACTAACATTCTGAAAATGGCCACAAGCTATGTCTGGTAATATGTCAAGCTTGTGGGAAGTCGACAAACATCGTAATCATTACGCACAACATCCCTTTGTAAAGTAAGTGAATTGAGTTTTTAACCTGCTTTTAGCAATATTCCAGCTTAATATATCGGCCGGACACCAGAAATGGGCTTCACATCTCTTGTAAAGAGCAGCTTAAATGATCATATAATGATCTTAAAAGACAAAACTGACTCTACCATATATCTTGTCATCCAAGCATAAAGTGAACCTAGTTTCAGGCTGCAAGAAAGGGGATTTTTCAAGATCTGCTTCAGATTTCCTCTACTCACCCTATTTCATCATCAACCCAGAACTCAGTCTCCGTTGCCATACCCACTGGCCTCCTCCAGGATATCTGCTATGCTGCTGCCATTAAGTCCACCTCGTGCTCGTAGGCAAGTTTAGCCTCAATGCCTGCTGTTCCTCTGTTATCTCTGTCTCAGGTATTAGACCCTTCATGAAAGTACAGACTTCGTGGCTGGTGATTCTTATCTAGCTTCACTTCTTCTGATGGCTTCTCATCAGAGTCTGCTACCGTCTTGCCTAAAAACTGAAAAAGCCATAGCTCTTGAAGGTGTGGGGTGGTGAAATTGGGTTGAACGTCGAGTTGGAGAATATTTCGCATTTCATATGACTGACATTGATGCATGCATGTGTATATTAATGCGTGCGGCTGCTTGTAGTAGCCCAGACTTAAGCTGGTGTTATAGTGCTAACCCACTGAAGATACCACATGCCGCAGTGAAGCACATGAATGCACCCACCTCAAGACACATTATACTGACTCCAAGCCCGAACCGTCCTTGTTGTATCCATTAATGCTGAGCCAGACAGGGACCAACAAGTACTATATTTTAACGCTCTTTTGGTATGACGTCAGGATCGAACTCCGCGAACCTTTCTGCACTGGGCAGACGTTTCTAACCATTACAATTCACACGGAGGCGTGTCTAGCTCTTGAAAATCACACTTACAAAAATGGAAGTCAGACAAACACAAGAAATGACGGGTGATTTTGCTAGCAGACATACCACATGACTAACCTTGTACCCAAGCAAATTAATTCCCACCAGAAGCACTGTTTCAAGCTTTTTGCATAGACACAAGTAAAGAAAATATTTGTATCCTCACTTGACAGTTTGAGTTTGAGTGACCCAGGTTTTGGTTGTGGAGGTTGAGAGTCCTGGCTGTCGCTTTTGGGCTTGGGGTTTTCATCCACCACCAACTGGTCTCTCATCACTGTCCAGCAGACTGTCATTCTTTTCCTTCACACCTCCAGTTTTAGTTTTCTTCTCCACCTTCACCTTTCTTCTCATTCCTTATTGCTATAATTAGCCGACAGTCGCTGAACTTCCCCGGTACTAGCCCCTTGAGACCCTCTCCTTCTCACTGAAGATACAAGGTGAAAACTGGTTTAACACAAAATAACACCTCATCTACATAACTTCATTTGATGAATATATCAAGTCTCAGCAATAAAAGTGTGTTCCAAAAACCCATTCTAAGCATCATCTTCTTCAGATTCTAATCAGATTCTAATTTCATATTATGGACCATTGTTACCCGAGGATACCTGACTGTATTTGATTCAATTTGGGTATGGACTACTGAATTAATTTGTAGACAAATCAAATATCCCACTTTTTGAAATGTCCCATACCAGTGTGTTGATTCATTCTAACATTCATCTTTGACAAACCTTTAACTTACTGAAATTTCAATAGCAAATTCCTTTACCTTATTATTCTTCCATTAGAAACTTTCAACTTTAATGCTGTCAAGGGTTCCTTCTTGTCGCCTAACAACCCACTTCTGTCCATTGTAAGCAGACCGATATCTCCTAACAATGCAGATCCGCTTAATATCTCCAGCTATTGGCCAAACATTTTTCTTCATCTTTGTCCTTTTCTTTTCCGGCCATCTTTCCTCCTTATCTTCCCCATCTTTCCCCTTGGCTTCTCCTCCTTATCTTTCTTTGCTTTTGCTGCCTCTTGCCTTCCTTCCCATCCCAGTCTCCTTGCCTTCTGCTGCCTCAATGTGCTGTCTAAGCAGGCCCCTGCCTTGTGGGATCCTCACCTTCAGTGTGGCAGGGCTGGCTCATCTTCTTCCTCCTGAAGACTATCAACACAGAAACGTTCATCAGTAGCCCACAGTGCACCTACACAATCCTCATCTCACACACATGATCCATTGTTCAATAGAAACTGTTTCTAATGTAGGCAAAAATGTTGCCAAAGACAAAAACATTTCCAGTACACCTTACTTATCAATAATCCATAATGTCTAAACAGCAAAGTCCATTTTAGATTACTTTTCATTCTGGAATTTTATGCATCCAGTTCAAACATAGGGGACCCGTGAAGATCTGGGTTAGAACTGGCTCTCAGTAACCCATGCTTGTCAAGAGGCTAATTACTGATCGGGTGGTCAGGCTCGGCTGACTTGCTGGGATTACCATGTCATCGTGATCCCACTATGAGATAGATGCTCATGCTGTTGGTCACTGAATTGTTTGGTCCCAGACTCGATTATTTACAGACTGCCGCCATATAGCTGGAATAATATTACTGAGTGCAGCTGCAAAACTAAACTCACTTCACTTACTCTCAAGCATAGGGCCAAGAGCAATGCTTGATTTTAAGCTGTTGGAGGAATGGGATATTTTTGTATGTCACAAGCCTAGTTCACTAAGAACCTGTTTCAACTGCTTGTCCTTATTACCATCATATACCATCAAGAGTCAATCATCTGTCCAGCACCACGTCCAACCTAATGACACAGTAAACATGAACAGATTTCAGTGTGTGAATCCTTGTATCGGTGTTGATTAAAGAATCAGGTTTTAACAGCAACATACAAAAGAGCATTGACTGCCCATTAGTGAGCAGCATCTGCAACCATCTTTACCATCTGGACATTAACACACAAGTGAGTTTAGTTTCTACCAAGACTCAGCAATATTCCAGTAGTATGGCTACAGCCCGCAACCCATACAAACCAGCAGAATTGCATGAGCATCAACATGTACCAACCAACCTGGATCCGTTTTAGTCAAATTTCACGACAAGCATGTTACTTAGAAGGACTGTTCATAATATGTGTATGTGTGTGCCGTGTACAAAATGTGTGTGTCGTGTTAAAGGTGTGTGTGTGTGTGTGTGTGTGTGTGTATGTAATGGCAAAATGTGTGTGTGTGTGTGTGTGTGTGTGTAAAGGTCGTGTGTGGTAGGCAAATGTGTGTGGTGGGTGTGTGGTAATGTCATTATTGGTTCAGGTCAGTTAATGAAAGAATAATATTTGGGGGTCAGTAATTGTACATAAAATATGTTTAAAACTCATAAAGGAAATTGGTGGAAGGGAAGGGGGTCATTGATTTTGTACATGACATGCAGGAGGGTCACTTTATTTTGTACATAAATTTTAGGGTCATCCATTGTACATAAGCCGATAAAATTCATCATCACGCCTCGTGAGCTATAAATTATGAACCTGCAAATTTTAAGATCAATTTTAACCTGATCTTCACGGGTTGACATTAACACAAACAAGGATCCAGGTGACAGATTATCTGAACAACATGCGCAGGACTCACCAGGAGCCTGTCCCAGGAATCCACTACTAGATGGGTAGTCTCCAACTTACATCAAAGTTGTAGATATTCTTGCTGTGCTGGGCTTGCACCTCCCTCAGCTTCTCCTCGTGTGCTGATGCGGCAGACAGATGTTTACCATGCTGTTTTGGGGGTTAGCGTGTCGCTCTTCCTCACAGCTAGCGTTCAGGCTTCTTAGGGGATAGGTTTCTGAAAAAAAAGTACAGAAAGTGAACACTGTTTTCCTAATGAACTCAACAACATTATACCATCTCAACTGTCCGGCTATTCATCTGGAATCTACCTACATGTGATTTTGTTCACCCCATCACTTTGGAAAATAGGGAAGGAACCTGATGACCAGGCTTCACGATTTGCCACACAGGTACAATGGTGAGAAACCTACATACAGTTTGATCCACTACTGCTGAAATATTGCTGAGAAAGCAGCTTCAAACTGAAGAAACACATTCTGGCCACTCAATGTAGTTGTGCACCAAAATCTGGCAAAATTACCTTGTGCGGACCCCGAAGACACAATGTCTGTTGTGCTTCACCCTTTGGTTTTCAAACTGTTTCAATTCTTTGGCAATATCCTCTCGGTGAATCTTTCCATAATTGTACATGTATTGGGTGCCTCAATGCTTGCATTGTCTCTACAAACTGGAAATCGTCATACAGACTGAAGGTTTAGAATACAGATTTCTGTAGTACTATTACAAGAACCAAATAGTTTCAATACAGAAAATGTCAAAGTCCAAACAGATAAATACCTAAAAAGAGCTACCAATTCCATATGATGTGCATCAGGATCAACTGGACAAATACCCATAGCTTACACAGTACATGTAAACATGCTGACATCAAAGCGACTTAATCTGTTGCCTGCCCTCTCTGTTGATGTCTCAGAAAATGTTCAGGAAATTCACATTTTTAGCCCTTCAAAAACGGGGAAACACACCTGAACAATATGTAATACAAAATTCAGAGTGGGCCGTTGTTTGACCATCTGCACATTTAGTGATATCTTAGGAACTAAAACAGGGCGGCCAAAATATTTCTCGTACTAAAATATTAAATGTGTGCCATTGTTTGTGGAGCAGCAGCTTAGTGTCAAGAAACTTGGTGAAAGATGACACAAGCAAACCTACTGATACATATGGTGTATCTGTAAACCTCATAATAAATTTGGAAATGTTGCAAAGGGCGACGTATATTTTACTTGGTTCAAATCTCTATATCCTGGTCAGTAGTTTTCCAAATAAACCATTTATCCCTGGTAGAACCAAATATGTCTTTCTAATGGCACCCAGTAACATTTACTTTCAAATAATTATGTTCTGTTACATTGTCTTATACTATGATAGCTGATATACAACAGAAACATAAATTCCCCAATCGCTAACACTATCGTTACAGGCGTTTAGACAGGACGTGTAAATGAAATTAACAGACACTGAAATAAAACATCATCTACTGTAACACATGACACAAATACAATGCTGCTAGAGTAAAATGTCTACATGAGTGTAAACATGATTAGTAACAAGTAAAATAAAAACTACGAAAGTCTAAATAAAACCCTCAAACAGAACTGATGCAACAATGGAATTAGGCAATGGAATGAACAGTCCCCTATCATGTGTTAAATGCTTTGACACAATTTCAAAATATTTTGATATGCTGTTACCTCCCACAGAGATGGCTGTAAATTAACTTTTAACACAAATGATTTATCAAAACAATAACTAACAGAAACATTTCCAGTGCAGGAATTAAATGTAAATCAATTTGTACCATGTATGTAAGGAAAGCCTGGCTGAAAGAAATAGGCAATAGATATATCATTTTAAAAATTACAATAAAAAAATAATTTAATTTCTAATTATCCAAAAATTAAAAAAATATATATTTCAACTGCTACTGTTGGGGCCATTCTTCATTTTCATACAAATATCTACAAATGATCTATATACCACTGTGTTTCTCACTGAACCTAAATAAACATACAGAACATTAAAGGTGTTATGTGGCTAGTGGACAGCGTCAAGATACACATGGATCTACTCTACCAGGGTGATCCCACACAGAGTTAGGCAGCCACCCAGCAGGCAGATTGTTGTGTTAGTGGCAAGAAGCAAAAATAGAGCAGTACAGATGTCACTTTAGTCAACGGCCGACATGGTATCAGTGTTAATGATTGGTCTATCATGATAGTTAGTTCATTGTTCATCAATATTTCTTTAATTCCTATATCTCATTTAGTAGTCAGGATGAACTCTTGTTGATGCAGCTTGCATTTTTCCAAAAGTATGTTGAGGAACTCAATTCAGCCTGTTTTTATCCCTTTTACTATCCAAGAAGAATAAACTCACAGGAATGAAAACAATGTCACATACATTCATCATGATTGTATTAATGTAATTGTGAAGAAAAATTAACAGTAATCCTGACTTAGAGAGGGAAAAAAAATCATGCATAAAGGTGGGGTCATTTCATTTGTAAAAATCTCATTTGTTGAACTATGTAATAAAACTGATATCATTGGAGTGCTATGTTCCGGACTGCATTATTAACTGAACCTGTGAAGAACAATGTTCCACTTCCCTTCTAGTTTAACTATTATTAAAAGGGGTTCCATTTCTTGGTTTACAAAACATTTTGGCAAAGAAAACAAAACAAACAGGCTAAAGAAAGCTATTTTAAAAGTTTCAGCTTCCAAATCAACTTACTATAAATGAATGAAAAAAAAGTTTGTTTTTAAAGCCAGACATGGCAATATTAAAGCAATTTAATAGACCCTAATGATAATCAAGTCTGGGCACAACAAACCAATGATTGATATTATGATGGACATTACATACATTTGTTGAATGACTGCACACAGTCATATGTCAAGTCACTGTGAAATGACCACCTATCCATTTAAAGTTACTTTCTTAGTCACTACACACAAGAATAGTTTGCTGGAAAGAAAAACAGAATTGCAAAGTTGACTCCAGCTAGGGAGGCACTTGAGTTTTGGGTGGTAGTTGATGATGCAGCACTTGCTCACCCAAAAGTTAAGTTTCCAAAGATCAGGCTTCTTTAATGGCCAATCTAAAGTAGTTTCAGGAGCTATCATTCAGTGAATAATTGCAGAGATTGCTACCTCAAAACAACTAAGAATACCCAAACTCGCACAGCTTCTGCCTTGAACATGTTGGAAAACATCTAATTTGAGTTGGATCTTAACATGAATTTCAAAAGTATTTTGTGACTTTCCTAAGTGATTTGCTTCTTATCAAGAGTTTTGTAAACAAACTCACAAAACATATATGGCCTAACATGGCACTAGCCTCCACTGTGAACTGAAGATACTGACCACTGAGTCATACAGTCTGTACAGACATTCTTAAAGAACAAATAAACTTTGTTTTTGTTCTCTTTAACTATTACATATGAAAGATTTGTGGTTAGTCTTATGCGCGAACACCAAATTCATTCTTTAAAATACTTGTGGTTAATTAATACCGAAAGCGCATTAAAAGTTGCCAAAAGTCGCTTCCTGCTTCAATCTCACCAACAACGAAACCACAGACAGGTTACGTAACTCTGTCGCCAGAGCACTGCAGTGACGCCATATGAGGAAGGATTTTCAGTTAGTTGTATAGAAAGTGTGTAGCAAGCTCTGCCATTTTGATGATTTCACATCAACGGAAGACATGCCGAATCGCTATGCTGTCGCCAATTGCTCCTGGGGTCGATGCGATGGTGTGGTCATGAACAACAGATTTCAACAGGACCCCTAGAGTTCGGTGCTAAATGGGTTATGTTTGTGAGTGCTAAGAGGCTGTTGGAAGCCTGAAACGATATCTCTTGTGTTCAGATCGCTTCAATGGAAGTTAAAGAATCAAAACTATTTACTAGTTGTAGTAAAATATGTATATGATTGATGGCCATAAAGATTTTCCATGACACAACTTGTAACATAACGATTTCTTCCTCTCAAAAAGAGGTTGTGGTCGGCGACATTAATACTGTAAATAGTATTATATTGATATTCCACCTCACTTCCACGAGAGAAATTGTTATGTTATAGTTATCATGCAAAACTTATTGGCTATCAATCAAATACATATTTTACTACTTCAGTAGAAAGTAGTTTTGATTTTGTAACTTTTCGGTGAAAAACAAACCTAAATAGCATTTATCCCTCAGACTGGCGGATGTTCAAGTGACAGGGCTGTCAGCCATTTTTGAAAATCGTAAAGTCAATGGCTAAAGTCTGTTGGAATTAATGAGATTATGGTTTGTTTTCACTGCTAGAAAATCAAAACTACTTTCTACTCAGAAGTTAAATATGTATTTGAATCATGACCAAAAGGATTTTGTATGACACAACTTATAACATAACGCCATTTCTTCCACGGAAGCTTAGGTGGGAGTCGAAGCCACAATACTGCGCGATAAATTTCTTTGCTACATTCACATGGTTAATGTCCACTGACCAGTATGTAGATACTAGTCAATGTATGTCTTTATATTTGGTCTTATAATCCTTATTAGTTTATTATCATTCTTGCATGCATTTTGAAACTTAATATAAAGCAGACGATCGGATGATACTCTATAGTGAATTTATAACAGGACTGTAATATCTGGATATTTTATAGTTTGCCAATGTGAATCTTAATTCAAGACACATCCTTTTTAGTGTATGTTGTCTGTCTCATTACACTTCACGGCTTAAAAATGCATTCTGTTGAATGCTACTTACAAATGAATAAAAACAAAATCCAAATATTAAAATTAAAACATTAAAGTTATAGGAACAATGTCAGGCTATTATCTTGTTCAAGGAATGTATCCATCAATGTCCACAAAAATGAGTGATATGCCATTCATCTGCAGCTGTTCCAAGTGATGTGTCTTTTAACAGTCTAATATACTTAAAAGGTGACATATCGCTTCAGGTATTTCTACACTGGTGGTATTTCCGCCTACATTTTGGGACCACAAAAAAGCAGTCTGTAGAAGGGGGTCTCTTTATCCATGGTCGCTTTCGCCAAACTTTTTCCAGGGTAAGAAAACAACATCGTGATCACTTCAAGCGAAATGAACAAACAAAGAAGACGACTTTGTCTTAGAGACGAAAATTTGCAAATCATCACTAGACAAGATTATTTACCTTTAAAAAAGTTGTTTTTGCTGGGCATGTAATTTTGCAGGATTAAGATTACCGTGTGTATCTGAGCCGAAATAGTTAGCAACATGTTTCAATCAAGCTCAAACATGCACAATAATATATCGGACCTAATTTGATGAAATTCAGTAAAATATAATACAGAATACTATCTTTTAACGCGAAAGAAATATATCCCTAGGTGTAATTTTAATTACAGCTTTGCTCCATAAATTAATTCAAGATTAAGATTACCGTGATGTATCTGAGAAATAGCAATCGCATTGGTCACCCAAGATAGTACACCTGGCAACTTATTGCATAATGTCCGCCTTTTCTTTAAAGTATAGATTAGTAAATCTACATACATAAACACTACCTTTGACAAATCCGCTGTGCAAGATAAAAGTAATTAATCAATCAGCTGGTTATCGGTTAATCCTTTGATTGATGTTTATAATGATGAATATTTACTCCAAACACAAGCCAAATGGGAACAAATCAACATGTTACCACTAGGTATACCTGTTATACATATTAACTGACCATCAAGTGAATGATAACAACATGGGTCTATACCACCTAACAAAGAAGTATTATTTGTATTGCTTGCAATTTTATTGCAGCAAAAACTCATGGGCACACCAGAGAATGGGCTTAACACATTGTTGCATAAGAAATACACATAAGCATTTTCTGTGTGCTAAAACTGTCTGTACCCCATTTACCTAAGTAAATTTTCAGATTCTTCTAGCAATGGCAAAGTAGGGTTGTTTCTAGTTTAATTGATTCAAATAAATCAAATGTCAATTTTAATATCATATCGTAATAGACGCCATATTTTTTACATGACATGATTAAATACTGAGGTAAAAACACAGAAATGGGATCAATTTGGATCAGTCATTATACCATCCAGGCATTAGAAAACCTGAAACAGCCCACACTGACACTGCTTTGATACTTTATTACAATCAGACAAGAACCGGGATGCAAATCTGATGGGCATCCACTCTTCTTAATGTCGCGACTGTTTAGGTTGAAGAAATTAACCAGAACTGTGCATGAGCTTAGGCTGATCATCGCTTTCATTATCACTAGCATCTGGCTTGAACAAATAAGGCCTCAGCGACATTAATTCGCATTTTGACAGAATCGCTCTATGAAAACAAGTTGTAACTTGGAAACTAGGCAAAGCAGGAAACAAAATCAAATGACAGTAGATTGTGAGAACATATAGCTTTCATATTTCACAACAGTTGTCACAATTTCAGGTTTATACAAACCTGTAAACAAGATAATTTGACCCCTGAAATGTACTTGAATTCTGCATCAGCCCTCATATATCTATTCCTCATATGACTTCACAGAGATGCTACTCTGATTGGTTGAAATTTCGCTCATGTGGGTGAGAATTGTGCAGTTGTCAAAAAGGTCAATTTAAGTTAATTAAAGATCGAAATGAGTAGTTTTAATGACAGGGTTTCATTTATAACGATGACAACTAGTGATTTATGTATTTGTACCCCTTAGAGTATATGTGATCTTTAACAATCTGTAACAACAAAGTGTAGGAACAACTGACTTTGGCCCCTTTCAGCTTCCATCTTCTATCTTTGACAGTGGTGCAATGGTGGGATTAAGCAATGCATCTCACCCCCAAGACAACAAGAATAATTCATGCATTAGGTGCAATGAAAGCCCAACCTGCAGTAATTTCGGACAAATGTAATGTGCATATTACAGACCGAGGCATGTGAAAGCTGGTCATGATGCTAGCATGCGAACATAATACATCACTTGAGCGCCGAAAACGTGCGGCGTACCCTCAGCAATTTTAGCAATTGTGGGTTGGTTCACATATGTTTTACTGGTTGATATTCCAAGATTTGTTTAACATATTAATCTTGACCCAACATATTAGGAAAGCCTGCGTGCGAACACACTGCAAAACTAAAGCATGCTAATCTTCACCAAAATGCTTTGCTAGCTTTGTTAAATCATTACGTTCTGGCATGCAATACTGATAAAGCACAAAATAGATTAATGCAGCCACCAGCATGGTTAAGTGAGTTATTTATTTCAGTGCAATAAATCCATTGCAGCATTCTCTGTGAGTAAGTTTAGCAATGTACATTTTCAACATGCAACAGTTTGAATGGTGTGTAAATTACCAAACATTATTGACAATGTATTGGGCTGAAGCATGTACAGGATTTCCTATTCTTAATCTCTGGCCTATCTTAGGGTAAAGCATGGCACAGAAATGTATTCATATTTTCGTCCTAAGTGCCAACATCAGCATTTTCAGGCCTAATGTCATCTAAAAAATACTTTTTGTAATTAAAATTATAAGTCAGTTTCAGGTAAATATCTTAGATCAGCCTCTTACCTTATCAGGTCCTTTTACTATTGTTTATGAAAGGATATATGGTGGGAATAACTTAACTTCTCCGTTGATTGTCATCAGGTCATTTATGAGGCTATCACTTATTACCATTCACTGGACCAGGGCATCATTACTGATGGACATGGTAAAGTGTCTGTGAAGATCAAGTGTCTGCAAGTGCGCTGCCTGTGTCTTATGATGGTGAGCTACAAGCTGGCTACATGACACTAGTGCACTGACCACGATACAACACTGTAGCCTATGCAAGTCAGGCATGCTACATGGGATGATGATGATGATGATGATGAGGAGGATGAGGAGGATAATAGTGATGATGGTAAATATGGAATGGGAGACAATCCACCACTCAGAAAATAGCTGAAAATAAAGCTTGTGTGAACGAGTAGCGATACATTCGTAGACCTTGCCGTAAGAGGCAGACATAAACAAGCCACTCACGAGGAAGGTGTTGTTCAACTGCAAGAGGGAAAACAGAAGTCATAACTAAAGGCTTCTTGTCTCTCTCAAATGACATACAACGTCCCATAAACAAAACAAAATTCCAACTGCTACCAAGTGAACTTTAAAAGTTTTCCAATACAGAGAGCTTGCACAAAAACATTGGAAATATTCAAAATAACACTTAGATAACCCTTGCTTCAGAAGTACAAGCATATTTGTATCTGTATCTATATCATGACCTATACAGTAGTAACAAGTCCTTCAAACTTAACATTAACATGTCCTTCAGTTACTTCAACATGTTTAATTACCAAAAGCTAAGCACTTCGATTGCTAAGCAAGCCCTTACCTATACAAAAAAACAAAACTTTAACCTTCTTAAAATAATCATATATCATTGCATTATCAAAATGGTTAAGATAAAGTTCAAGACAACTGATCACTAACAGGTTCAATACCCAAGAAGGAACAAGTAAAAATCTGTTCTAATCTGAAAAACACTTGACTAATTCAGCAACTGTAAATTGAAAGAATTGAATAGCTCTCTTGTTAACACTACAATACCCTACAAAGTTCAATACAATCAACATATGAATACACATACATCTTTCCTCTGTGTCCAGGACTTGAGATGCTGTGCAAGGGCCTTGGCTCCATCCAAGATGTATTTCCTCGGGACTTTCTGATCTTCAACACATTCTGAAACAAAAACCTCTTGTTAAAAATGACCACCTGTAACATGCATGACTGTCAACTGAAAACTGTGTAAGGGAGATAACTCATGTGAAGGCAGATGTTAACACTCATGTATATATTATACTGATAGTGATTTTATTCGGTGTACTACACTACTATGACAGATACACACACAATTGTATCTTACCTTTCAGTATATCTAAGAAGTGTTTAGCTGCATACCAGCAAATTGTTTCATAAAAAGGGAATAGGTATTTTTCTGGTGTTTTAACCCGCCGCTCAATCTCATAAACTCTGAAAACAAAAGATGAAACACATAAATAACTTTAATACCAAACATCCAATACCAGTCTATTCTGGTGAGTTGGGTAGTCTAGTGGTTAAAGCATTCCCTTGTCATGCCGGAGGCCCGGGTTCAATTCCCCACATGGGTACAATGTGTGAAGCCCATTTCTGGTGTCCCCCACTCACTCACTCACACTCTCTTGAGTGATAGTGAATAAAGCCCCAGCAGTTAGAGAATGCATCATGAAAGTGAGCAATCACATTCAGTTATAGTAACCAGTTCACACACAAGCTCAGTGCACTGCAGGAACATTCTGAACATTCTGAGTAAGTAGATACTAACAGATAGTGCTTAAACTCAGCTAGTTTATCTACTCACAGAATTTACAAATACTACAGTTCGCCCTTATGAGTACTCTTTGGTGGAATACATTCTGACACCTCATTGTACAACAACCATGACTCCTTGGACCTTATTTCACACAACAGAGGTTACTAGTTTAACCTCAATGTGCAAAAGAAATTATGGCTAGTTTTACCACATTAGACAAGAGAGATGATGGCTAGTTTAACCTCATTGGACAAAAGAGATCATGGCTAGTTTAACCTCATTGGACAAAAGAGATGATGGCTAGTTTAACCTCATTGGACAAAAGAGAGATGGGCTAGTTTAACCTCATTGGACAAAAGAGATGATGGCTAGTTTTACCACCTCATTGGACAAAAGAGATGATGGCTAGTTTAACCTCATTGGACAAAAGAGATCAATTGGACAAAAGAGATGATGGCTAGTTTAACCTCATTGGACAAAAGAGATGATGGCTAGTTTAACCTCATTGGACAAAAGAGATGATGGCTAGTTTAACCTCATTGGACAAAAGAGATGATGGCTAGTTTAACCTCATTGGACAAAAGAGATGATGGCTAGTTTACCCTCATTGGACAAAAGAGATGATGGCTAGTTTAACCTCATTGGACAAAAGAGATGATGGCTAGTTTAACCTCATTGGACAAAAGAGATCATGGCTAGTTTAACCTCATTGGACAAAAGAGATCATGGCTAGTTTAACCTCATTGGACAAAAGAGATCATGGCTAGTTTAACCTCATTGGACAAAAGAGATGATGGCTAGTTTAACCTCATTGGACAAAAGAGATGATGGCTAGTTTAACCTCATTGGACAAAAGAGATGATGGCTAGTTTGCATTGGACTCATTGGACAAAAAAAGAGATGATGGCTAGTTTAACCTCATTGGACAAAAGAGATGATGGCTAGTTTGCCCTCATTGGACAAAAGAGATGATGGCTAGTTTAACCTCATTGGACAAAAGAGATGATGGCTAGTTTAACCTCATTGGACAAAAGAGATCATGGCTATTTAACCTCATTGGACAAAAAGAGATCATGGCTAGTTTAACCTCATTGGACAAAAGAGATCATGGCTAGTTTAACCTCATTGGACAAAAGAGATCATGGCTAGTTTAACCTCATTGGACAAAAGAGATCATGGCTAGTTTAACCTCATTGGACAAAAGAGATGATGGCTAGTTTAACCTCATTGGACAAAAGAGATGATGGCTAGTTTTACCTCATTGGACAAAAGAGATGATGGCTACAAAAGAGATGATGGCTAGTTTAACCTCATTGGACAAAAGAGATGATGGCTAGTTTAACCTCATTGGACAAAAGAGATGATGGCTAGTTTAACCTCATTGGACAAAAGAGATGATGGCTAGTTTAACCTCATTGACAAAAGAGATGATGGTTAGTTTAACCTCAATGCAAAACAGAGATCAAGGCCACTTTAATGTCAAAATTCAAAAAAGATGATGGCCTCCTTAACCTCATTCAACAGGATATGATGACTAGATTACCTCACTGCATAACAGACTCACAGTGCAAAAGAGATGACCATTAAATTGACCTCAATGCACAACAGAGATGATGACAAGTTTGAACTTACTGCAGCTGTAGAGGAGCATTGTAGCTGTGTAAGAAGTTGCCCCCAAACACCAGGGAGTCGATGGGGGTAAAGACTGCATGAATCCAGCCTGTGGGAACAAAGAAAGTCTGTCCCGTCTTGATGACACACTTGTAGCAACTGTCCACCTGGTCACCGAAGAAGGTCTCACTCTGGTTGCTGGACGACAGCCAGTTCTCATACAGTGACACGTTGGCACTGGTCGGTCGGATCAAGTAGAACACTTTCTCTCCCTGTTAATGTCCATGAATAACATAAGTTCAGTCAAAGATTACCATGAGGACTATATTGTATCTTGATAGATCATTTAGACATTACTACCATTGCTGACAGTGTTCCAACTTAAGCAGAAAAGTCAAGGCATGCCATTCACAACAAAAGGGTCTGTTGATTTAAATACCATAGAAGAACTCAAGGTCATCAGGGCCTACTTTATAAGAACAATGTTTCACATTCAGGATATTAATATTCAAATTAAGTAAAAAGCAAGAAATTTGTGATTTCTAGGTGGAGTTTTTTGTTTTATGCTGTAATGAACAGTATTCTTGAGCAGGTCTGTATTAAACGTACTTTTGACAGCTGAATCGAAAGACTGAACACCAGACCACTACTGGAAATATTAGATATTGTAGATATATTCAAAGTCTTTACACCATAATCAAGATGACGATGAGTGAACTCACCCTGAGAACATGGTACCACACTGAGGTTCCACCAAAGTCTATGTGAAAGTCTGTGAAGCTGTCCCTCACTCCCATGAGACAGTATTTCTGTACTTCTGGACGGTTGTAGGGGCTGTCATCAGGCAGCTGGTCGGGCCACACATTCTGCACCCAGCTTAGTTCACGCACTATGGCTGGGGGGACAACAAACTCAGACAATCTGAAAAACACAGAAATGTAAATTTATTTGGAAACTTCAATACTACTGCCTTCAGTTCCATTTCAATATGATCCTGGTGATTGTAGATACTTATCTTCCTTCAATAATACTACCAAATAACATGTTCCATAATCCCTGTTCTGCAAATGCGGCAATATATTTGTCTTTACATATATTGATTTCAACAAACTGGAAATATCCCAAATGTTGCCACATTTATAATTTGGTGTCAGTTAGAGAGATAAATGTTGAGTCTTACATAAGATTTCAAACTAATATTCAATATATATATATGTTTCAAATACAAAATTCATAAGATATAAAATCACTACTGAAAACTTTGTAAATGAAATTTATAATAGAACTACTAAACATGCTTACAGCAGAAACAGCTTCTCTGAAAATAGTTACTGAAGCATCCTGAAGATGAACAGTCAACCATTTCTTCAAGAGTCTTCACAACACTAATGCCTTGATCATTGCACCATACCATATCATTACCAGAGCAATTCAACCCTGAATAAGTACTGGAAGTCATCATGGTGAGGAAAGTGTCAATGTTAACTGCTAAGGTTTAATAGTGGAACACTCTATACTGTAGTATGACAGACATATGGCCACCTTCAAGACACAGCCCATTATTGCTGGTTTATGGAAAAAAGTGGCCATCTCACAACTGGAGGTGTGGATGTGGCTCATTTAAAAAGATGACAAGACGACACAAAACCATGGAAACCTTTTAGATACAATAATGGGACCAATACCTGCAAAACTATAGTATTCCAAACCTGCCCTTAAAGTTCATTTTAAATATTTCCATTGCTTCTCTTGCCAACATTAGCATAATGTCATGAGAAATAAGCAGGCAGAAATATGGTAATCATTACATACTTTGTATTTGAGAACTCCAGACTGATGACATTGAAGATCTTCTGCCTGTTGGGACTGTTGTAGTACTCTGTCCACTCTCTCATCAGCATCTTGTAGTCCTCCTGTCGGGCAACATCTATCACATCGATCTCACGCATAGACCCTGCCAAGTAAAACACAGTGTTTTACCACACTTAAAGTCTTCAACAAGACACAGAGTAATACATGAACTCTCAGGCACTTGTCATTCAAAGGCAAGGCAGCAATGATACATCTACAAAGAGAATGCCTGGAGTCTACCAAAGGAATACTTAGCAAACTTAGCAAACAGTGACATTAATCAGAAACATTAGGGCACAATAATGTACAGTCATATCAGTAATGTTTTGGCAATATGGCTAAAGCCCAACTGGACCAGACAGCTTGATTTTAACCAAACAATGAAACTATTGTAGAGACAACATCTGTTACTAGTTGTACATGATGTGTTTTGTTTGTTGTTCAACACTACACTAAGCAATATTCCAGCTATAAGATGATGATTTGGAGATTGTATGTGTGTTTTCTGACATAATACGTATTTCGCACACGGAGCTACCAAGTGTCTACCAGTAATAAAGTCAAATTTGGACCAGACAATCCAGTAACCGATATTAATGATCCAGAGCATTGGCATAATGTCAACCAAATCATCCAGTCTAACCAACCGTCTCCGTGGTGTGAGTGCCTAATCCTCTGAAGGTCGCCACCTGCATCATACCAAAAGACATCAAAATATGGTACTTGTTGGTCCCTGCCTGACGCTTGGCATTAATGGGTAGAACAAGGACTGGTCGGCTCGAAATCAGTATAATGTGTCTGAGTGGGGTATTCATGCTTCACTGCGGCATGGTATCTCAGTGGGCTAGCACTATAAAACCAGTTTCAGTCCTGGCTAGTACAAGCAGCCGCACACACACATACACACGCATGCACGTCGTCATATGAGCGAAATATTCCAAAGCACAACGTTTAACCCAATTTCACCTCACCTCACCTCCAGTCTGACCACCTGTTGCCTCTAACAACAAGCACCTGTTGAAGGCACCAATGGCTCTCCACAAGATAGCATGGCATAAGCAATGGGAAGGCTACATACAAACTCACCAACATGGTTTTCTACATCTTGTATTGTGAAGTTGGATGGTGGCACCGTCAAAGACAAGCCATCTTTCTTCTCAATCAGTATAGGTGTATCAAAGCCATTCTTATCCAGGTAATCCTTTGTCAACTGACTGCCATGGAGACGTAGGATTGGTATCTCATCGGCACTGCAACATATAACATAACCAATAGGATGTACAGTGTCATGTGATGTGCTGATCTGGAACATCAGATCAAAATAGTTCATTTTAACACACTGCAAAAGGCTGGGACCAAAACTGACATTTTGTTGTATCCGTTAATTTGTTATAAGCATGTTTGTTATGAACAAAGCATCTTCTATCTATTGAGCCTGTTCTGAGGATCACCTAGTCAGGGCTTTGGTTAAACTTGCATTTCGTCCTACCTTGGAAACATCCTGTTCTTGAGTTCCTTAATGAAGACAACAGTGCCTGTCTGAACTGCCTGTTACAAGAACATCAACAGATAGACAATTAGATGATATTCATCTCAGTACATCAATTAACAAGTATAATGATTGACATGACATGAAGCCTTAAGGATAAATTTAAGTATGTCAATTACAGAATGAAATAACTAGAAATAATCACAAAATCATAACTGATGATTAGCCATATTAAGTGAACATGATGATATTTTGTCAACACTGGTTATTTGTAGAATTACATCATCTAATGTAAAGAATATGTCTGTCTGTTTCCAACCCACACAACACATATCAGATGATCATGTTACGAGAATATTTTTGTGGTTTTCTGATATTTACATGACTGAAACACAGTGGGTTAATAATCTCCCTTTCATAAGACTTAGAATGTGACATCTGTCCCCACCTTTCCTGTCTCCTCTTCAGAGTAGTCATGTCTGTGCCAGTTCTTCCTTCTCTTCACTGTAACACAAAGTACAATCAAATTTTAATATAAATTGTACATTTACATACTTATCCTATCTCACGGTATGCACTTCTCTCTCTTGATTCGACACTGAGTGGAATGATGTAAACTTAATTCCCTAGGCCTCTCTTGTCCATCTGCCCAAGCACTCCATGCTACCCTCATTATAAGACAGCTTCCTAGCTCTCATGCAAAGCATGCAGCATGCACCACTAGCTGCCCACGTGACTATCTCCAAATCATCATTCTCATTCTTGGAGCCACTGGACAATATCCATCTTGGAGAATCTGCACAGCGGACAGGATGGGCGGGAATCCATGACATAGGATAAGTATATAAATATACAATATATATTAAAATTTTAATTTTATCTTAAACTTTTAAACTTATCCTATCTCACGGTATGCACTTATCCCACGGTCGGACGGCAGGACGCAGATACCCTGTGTCTTGACAGTGTGAACAGCAGGAACTGTGTAGACTGGAAACGACCATAGATAGAGATGCACAAGGGAGGCCTGTTAAGCATGCAAGCAATGCCTATGCTTGTGCTGAGTTCTTTTGAAATCCTTGGCTTACTAAGCACAAAAGCTCCCAGGGAGATGAGTGCTCCCGAGCATTGTGGTGTTCGGCCGCAACCTCCGAAGTAGGACGCAGCTCAGCGAGAAAGGATGTCACTTCGCCACGATTTTCAAGGTACCCCCATAAATTATAGTCGAAAGACAATAATTGGGCCAGCCCCTGCTTCGAAAAGATCCCCACAGACACCGACCAGGGGTGGGTGAAAGAGAAGCACAACTCAGGAACCCGGGAAGATTTAACGTTCAGTTCCGGAACAGCATCAAATTTACCCTCACTCCTATGCATAAGCTTAGTCAAAGGATGTGCCCGGCAACTTCGGAGTCTGAACGCAACAAAATCCACTGGAATTCGGGAGTGTCACACTTCACTGACGTAATTGCTCCATTGTGAAGAAGACAGGAAGCGTGAATGTCGAACACGTCTGCATCGCCGTATTCCAATGCCTTGGTATAGAAGTCAAGTGAAGTAGTTCTTAAACCCACAACTTGAGAACACTGATTGTGATCATGTTCAACTTTGTTCCGTATGTAGAAAGAAGCAGTAACGTGCAAGCAGAACTGTCCCTCAACAGCGTTAGTGGGCTGATGTAACCTGCTGAGGTCCGAACTAGTATAGTCCCAGGACATCTGTGACAGACAGGTCTTGCAGTTAATGTGAAGAGTAGACTATATCTGAACGTCAGAAGCAACCTTCCATGAGAGCGGTCAAGGAGCAGTTGCTACGGAAGGCCATCGTCAAGACTAATGCAGGAGTCTCATGAGGATTGGCGGCGGCAACCCTGCAAAGTTGAGACTCACAGGATCGCGCGCGCATTCAGAAAGTCAATGTGGCTCGGGAACCTCAGCTCTTGAAGCGGCCAACAAGGGTATGAAGAGGCGTTTTCGTAGCCATCGATGATCCATGGAGGCAGCAAGGTAAAGGTGTAGAGCCCTAACAGGGCAGAGTGTCAAATCTTCAGTATCATCAGTCCCAAAGATGGACAACGGAGGAATGGTTAACATCCAGTCCAGTTGCCCCGGCAGTTGGTTTTTCACGATGAAGTCCCAGTGGAGCCCCAGGAAAAAACCTTGCCATGCTTCTTCCGCTCGAAGATCGGAAGGTAGATATATCCAGAATGATATGAGCTCTGGTCACGTAGTCTAAGTCTGGGAGATCAGGTATCGTCAGAGTGTCAAATGCCGGCGTAATCTAGTTGTCTGTGCTACTGACATAGCTACGCCATCTGTTCAATCAGCAGAAAGGGGGTACCAGGTGGGATAAGTCATGTGACTAAAATCTTCTACCGCCTCACATACCGTAGGGTAATCTGGAGAGCCAAGTCGAATGGTCATGCTAAGAGCATGCCACTCCGTGGTGAGGAATTCAGCGTATCACAAATGCCCTGAATATGAACATCGTGTTGAAAGCTGGTCGAGTTTAAGTAACAGCTGGTATAATTGACCGTATCCAGATGCAAGGTCATGATCCTCAATGAGCATGTAAAAAAACAGTGTTGACAAGTTCTGATCCATCAAGTTGAATGTAGTAAGTAGATCATCTGGTATCTTGCTCAAGATAGCTGTAGATGAGTGAGTGAGTATGATCTTACGCCGGATAGCTGTAGCTGTAACCAAGTAACCATGTGTGTCGACTGAACCAACATTATTGCTGTACCTTAAAGGCAACATTTATGGTTCAGCGAACGCTGTCGGATCGGTGAACGCTGTTGGATCTGCGATCTGGCACGGTTCACTGACCAGGATCGGTAAAGTGATCTGGCTCGGCGAGGTAAGATCTGAAACGGTACTGTGATCCGGTTCTGGTGCGGCGACTCAGTTTGGTGCGACGACTCAGTTTGGCCCGACGAACTAGTTCGGCGATGAGCAGATTGATCTAGTACGGGGATGTTGTAGTGAATCAGTTCGGCAATGTGGTTCGGACGAGATGAGCCATTCTGTGCCGAAGAATTAGTTCGATGATGTCGTGGTAAACCGGCCTTCCGAATCGGTTCGACGATGATACTTGGATGAGTTTGATGAACCATGGGACGGCTAGTTAAGTCGAAAAACGGTGATTCAGTGACTGCTGATTCGATAAATGCTGGTTCAACGATCTCCGGTTCGAGGAAAGCCATCTGGCAAATTTAGGTTCAGTTGAATGCCAAATAATTAGATGCAGCCATGGTTCGTTGACGAATGCTAGTTCATTGAATGCGCATTTGGTCCCTGTCGAGGGAGCAGACTGTTGCTGATTCCAAGCAGTAGTAAATGGCACTCAACATCGCAGCCAGATCTGGGGGAGGAGTAGTTTCCTGCGCAGGAGTCCAGGAATCTGGTACAATCCGACTAGACTAAAGACACGCGAGGAGGCAGGAACCCCGTCAGAAGTCGTAGCACACTGAGGTCTATAATCGGAGCCCCGTTGAGTAGATCTCCTATCTGTAGAACCATATTGATATCTGGAGGGGGGACGAACTGGAAGAAGACGTACATATGGAGACCCGATGAGGAGATCGGGAACAAGGAGGGGAAGTATCATAACGAGAATGATGATCCCTGGATCTTGAACAATAGGCAGCAGTCGATCATGTAGGAGATCTAGGTTGACGGTTCGAGTGTGTAGAAGAGGAAGTCCCATGCGACGAGAAGACGAAGTCCGAGGAGCTGACTTCGATCGAAGAACCGATCCCAACGAAGTAGATGGAGGTGCTGCTTAGTTGAATGCAAACAAGTCGAAGAGTGGCGTCTCGGCGGTGAAGCAGACCTACCAGGTCCATCCGGTGAACAAATCCGAAGAATAATAGGAGCCTTGACCAAACGACTCAGTGAAAGCCGTGTCTGTGCTGAGGAGACATGACTGTAGGATCCAACAGAATTCAGGTGAAGTACACTGATGATCCGGAAAAAAGCGTTCCGTTGAATACCACTTGGAAAAAAACCGTATCAACGAAAAGTCGATTCGCCGCGTTCAAGTCGGTTCATCACATGCTGTTTCAGGAGAGTCTGTTTAGAAGACCATTCCAATGTTGATTCGGCGGTTTGGCTGATTCATAGAGAGTGAAGTCTGTTTAGAAAGACGATCGAGCCGGAGTCTGCGATCTGGCTGTAAATTCAATATGGCAGAGCCTTCAATGAAGATCGAGGTAGCTGGGCTAAAGACACACATCTTTTCCACTGACAGTCACGGGGCGAGAATGCCAAATCAGCTGATTCTTGTCCCATTAAGCCAGGTTGCCGTGATAACTGGTCCGGTGAGACAGAGGCGTAGTTCGAAGGTCCCGCTATGGAGGAGGACAACCAGGGTGGTCGGGGAGGGTTGGAAGAGCGGACAGGTGAAGCGTGATCCGGCGAACTGTGATTGACGATATGGCAGGCTTCAGCGAAGCAGAAGATCGAGGTAGCTGGACGCCTAACACACATCTTTTTGCCGAATGGGAATTCAGAGATAGTCACGTGGGCAGCTAGTGGTGCATGCTGCATGCTTTGCATGAGAGCTAAGAAGCTGTCTTATAATAAGGGTAGCATGGAGTGCTTGGGCGGATGGACAAGAGAGGCCTAGGGAAAAAAGTTTACATCGTTCCACTCAGTGTCAAATCAAGAGAGAGAAGTGCATACCGTGAGATAGGATAATTTAAAAGTAAGAAAATTGCCATCCATGTACTTGTCTTATATATTCACCAACTTCTAAATGCCTCTCTAGAATCTCACAAAGTACAGCCTTCAACAAAATCTCAACTAGTGATATAGTACACAATACTGGATTTACAATAGATACTCAAGTGACCTACAGATAGTCATATGATACAAAATACTGGACTTACAAGACTCAATTAAGAAACAACATATCATTTGTGGACATGTTTTTGTGTGACAAGCAAATTCTGTTGTCTGTTGTCAGGGACTGTCACATGTATGTGTAAGGGGATCGTCTCGCATACACTTTACAAGTTCTACTGCTAAACACTGCCTACAAAGAGTCATGCTACAAAATGCTGGACTTTCAGGACTTACTAAAGTGACCTACAAATAGTCATGTAATACAAAATACTGCACTCACAAGACTTGCTCAATATGCTAAAGAAACCTACAAATGTGATACAAAAATGAAAGTGTAATCCCAAATATAACATATGTTACAAAAATGCTGGCCATGAGCTTTATGAAGAAGCCTAAACACAGTCATGTGTTACAAAATGCTTGACTTACTAAGGAAACCTATAAACAGTCATGTGACACTTTCAAAATAGTTTTAGACATGTGACCAAGGAGAATGAGAATATACATACACACAAGAGGTCCCTTCAACAGTTGACAGTTGGGACAGTGGTATATTTCAATGTCCGATGCTTGATGTTCCAATACCCCAACACAGCTGAAATAAACATGCACCATGAACAACAGGTCATAGGAAGTCACATGTAATTGGGATAAATAGTGTTAATCGTGTTTTCATGAATACAGAAAGAAATTACATATCCACTTTCCTGTGCACTCATCATGCTCATATTGATTAATACTAATTGATTCTAATGAATACTACTCATGCTAATATTTCCATTGATGTCATGAATGGCCCATGGAAGAATTTGCAACATAATCATATAAAAATGATGAAGTATAATAGCAGACTCTGGTAATTAGTGGCAAAGTGACTGATTGTATATTGGTTTAACAATCAAGTATACTCAGAATGGTAACTGATTCAATATAAATATCTCTTGTCACGGTAAGCATGTTAAACATTAAAGAAGAAATAAACTTTTGGTTTTTTTCACTCTTTTAACTATTTCATATGAAAGATTTGTGGTTAGACTTATGCGGAACACCAAATTCATTCTTAAAAAACTTGTGGTTAATTAATACCGAGCGATTAAAAGTTGCCAAAAAGTCGCCTGCTTCACTCTCGCCCACCAACGAAACCACAGACAGGTTACGTAACTCTGTCGCCAGAGCACTGCAGTGGCGTCATATGAGGAACGATTTTCAGTTAATTGTATAGAAAGTGTGTATGCACGCGTCATTTGATGATTTTTTCGACATCAACGACGACATGCCGAATCGTTGCTTTGTCGTCCAATTGCTCCTAGGGGTCGGGCGATGGTGTCACCATGCACCGATTTCCACAGGACCCCGCAGTTCGTACTAAACAAGTTATGTTTGTGAGTGCGAAGCCAGCGTTGTGGAAGCCTGAAACAATATCTTACTTGTGTTCAGATCGCTTCACGGAAGTTAAAGAATCAAAACCACTTACTAGTTGTAGTAAAATGTGTATATGATTGATGGCCATAAAGATTTTCCATGACACAACTTGTAACATAGCGATTTCTTCCTCGGAAGTTAGGTTGTGGTCGAAGTAACAATAATATTGTAATTAGTATTATATTGACACCCACCTCGCTTCCACGAGAGAAATTGTTATGTTATAAGCTATGTCATGCAAAACTATTGGCCATCAATCAAATACATATTTTACTACCAGTACAAAGTAGTTTTGATTTTGTAACTCTGTGAAAAGAAACCTAAATAGCATTTATCCTCAGACTGGCGGATGTTAGCGACAGGGCGCCGCCATTTTTGAAAATCGTAAAGTCACGGGCTAAAGTCTGTAAGAATTAATGAGATTATGGTTTGTTTCCATCAAGTTAGAAAATCAAAAGTGCTTTCTACTCGTAGTTAAATATGTATTGGAACCATAACCAAAAGGATTTTGCATGACACAACTTATAACATAACGATTTCTTCCACGGAAGCGAGACGGGGGTCGAAGTCACAATACTGCGCGATAAATTTCTTGCTACATTCACATGGTTAATGTCCACTCAACAGTATGTAGATACTAGTCAATGTACCTCTTTATATTTGGTCTTATAATCTTAATTGGTTTATTATCATACTTGTATGCATTTCGAAACCAAATATAAAGCCGACGATCTGCTGATACTTATAGGGAATTTATAACAGAACTGTAATATCTGGACATTTTATAGTTTACCAATGTGAATCATAATTCGCACACACACGCCCTAGTGTATGTTGTCTGTCTCATTACACTTCACGGCGAAAACAATGATTCTGTTAAATGCCACGACAAATGAATAAAAACAAAATGCAAATATTAAAATTAAAACAGATTTAAGTTATAGGAACAATGTCAGGCTATTACCTTGTTCGAGGACTGACTGACTGACTGAGTTTAGTTTTACGCCGCTTTTAGCAATATTCCAGCAATATCACGGCGGGGGACACCAGAAATGGGCTTAACACATTGTGCCCATATGGGGAATCGAACCCGGGTCTTCGGCGTGACGAGCCAACGCTTTAACCACTAGGCTACCCCACCGCCCCCCTTGTTCGAGGAATGTATCCATCAATATCCACAAAAACGAGTGATATGCCATTCATCGGCAGCAGTTCCAAGTGATGTGTCTTTTAACAGGTTAATATACGAAAAAGTGATAAATCTTTTCAGGTATTTCACATTGGTGTATAGTCTCATTGGTCACCCAACATAGCGCACCTGGCAAATAATTGCATAATGTCCGCCTTTCTTTAAAAACAGTAATTTAGTTAGCCAATAATGGGCAATCAATCAATGTATTGCCGGTTAATCCTTTGAAAGAAGGACGTTGTTTTTACGCAGACACCGACACGACAGAGTGTATTCAGTATAGATTAGTAAATCTACATACATAAATACTACCTTTTGACAAATCCGCTGTGTAAGATAAAAGTAATTAATCAATCAGTGTGTTATCGGTTAATCCTTTGATCGATGTTTATAATGTTGAATATTTACTCCAGACACAAGAAATGCTAAATCGGAACCTTTCTCGGGTAATCTATGTGTGTTACCACTAATTATACCTGTTATAAATTCATTAACTGACCATCAAGTGAATGATGACAAATAACATGTGTAGGTTCATACCACCTATAACACGGGTTACAACAAGGGAGTATTAATTGCTGTATATGCATGTGAAAACTTATGGGCCGACACTGTTTTGAGAATACAAACAGATTTTTACATGACATGATTAAATATCGAGGTAAAATAACACAGAAATGGGATCAATTTGCATCAGTCATTATACAAATAAGGCCTAACGACACCAAGCAATTTTGACAGAATCGTCTATGAAAACAAGTTGTAACTCAGAAACTAGGCAAATCAGGAGACAAAATTAAATGACAGTAGATTGTGAGAACATATAGCTTTCATTTTCAACAACAGTTGTCACGATTTCAGGTTTATACAAACCTGTAAACAAGATAATTTACCCCCTGAAATGTAGATGAATTCTGCATCGGCCCTCATATGTATTCCTCATATGACGTCACAGAGACGCCCCGCTCTGATTGGTTGAAATTTCGTTCGCGGGTGAGAATTGTGCACTGTTGTCAAAAAGGTCGATTTAAGTTAATTAAAGACCGAAGTGAGTAGTTTTAATGACAGGGTTTCATTTATAGCGATGCCAGTTAGTGATTTATGTATTAGTACCCCCTAGAGTATATGTGATCTTTAAGTTTCGGTCTTGTTACATGATGCTGAAACACTCCAAGGACCCCAAATCAACTACAGTGGAAACCGCCTAAGTAAAGACCGCTTAACTAAACAGACCTGATAAGTAAACACTTTTCTTTGGTCCCGGCAAATTTCTTCATTAATTATCACTATTAGAGTCCTGTTAACTAAACTTGGATAAGTAAACAATACCGCTTAACTAAACGTATTCTCACAGTCCCTGGAAGTAAATTACTTAACAAAAGATACTGGATAACTAAATTAGCGATCACCACATAATCCGACATGAGGGGCACGTGTCAGTCTCCAGTTAAACAAACATCCTACTTACAGCTCGCTGGCGTCAAGCAGTTGACAATACACTGACAACTGGAGGCCAGCCCTGATAAGTGGTTCATTGTTACATATGCATACATATATACATGCATATGGTTGTCATTTGCAGATTTTTATAGGTTTGGATAAGTAAAATACCTGATAAGTAAACAATTTTGGCGAGTCCCTTGGAATTTTACTTATCAGGTTTCCACTGTATACTGAAAGGCAAAAGAAACGTTGTAATATTGGAAATGACATTTAAGTATCAATGGAGTATTTGAACCTATTTTTTTTAAACATGCGCCACTGAAATGCAGTACCGACTTTCATCATAGAAGATATCCCCTCTTCACTGTCTCCCACGCCAGTTTTGCCGCTATTGGGCCTACTGGAGACGTTCCCGGCAGGGACATTGGGTGAATATGGGTTTTCCTGGCAGGATGTTGACAAAACAGGTTCCTGGCTTGGAGACGTTGCCAAATGGTTCGGTCACTGACTGGTCGCTGGAGGTTTCCTATGGTCACCCAAACTGTTTCTGTAGCCCTTGCGAATCTGTCTTGCAGGTGTTGATGGACGATATGACAGTCCTGGTGACGATGTTGTTACACGGTGTCGACCACTACGTGGACGGTCATCAGTGCTGTTGGTGGCACTGTATCGCTGTCTATCGTTCATACGCTGCAATTGAAGTCATTAGCAATGACTTGAGCACGTTGACCAGCCTGTAGACGTCCAATGGCGTGTTCTCATTGATCTCATGTTAACCTAGCCATAGCTGCTGTGTTCAGAAAACAAGTGAACGTTTGCCATTCAAGCCGGCAATTTATGCCTGAATGCATGCATGATGCACGTGCATCTCGATTTCAATGTTGTGTTTGTGCGGACTCTTCCCTTTCCACAAACAAAAACATTTCTAACCTCAATCTCAAACAATACTTTATTGGGCAAAAGAGGCTATACGACCACAATTCACGTTTTCTTCAAACTTGGCTTCCGGTGTATATTTAAAACACATAGGTTCAAACACTCCATTGATACTTAAATATCATTTCCAATATAACTTTTCTTTTACCTTTCAGTATATAATTCTGAGTGAGTGATTAACATATTTATGGCAAAATTCTAGCAATTTAACAGCAGAGGAACTAGAACCAGACTTCACACAATCTACCCATGTAGGAGCTGAATACTGGTCTTCTGTGTGATAACTAATGCTTAACCATTAGCCTAACTCACCACCCTATAATTCTAAATAAAGGTGGTTTAGACTCGATTATTTACAGACCGCCACTATATAGCTGGAATATTGCTGAGTGCGGCGTAAAACTAAACTCACTCACTCTAAATAAAGGCCTATGTAGCCACTTAGCCACCCTCGATGTATAATGTGGCATAATTACCAGTAGATGAGAAGGTTATGATCCAACTAATCAATTTAACTGAGAGCACTGATTATTAATATACATTTTAAATAAGCCCTAATGGTACTACATGGAAATATTCTACATGAGTGAGTGAGTTTACGCTGCTTTTAGCAATATTCCAGGCTTCACACATTGTACCCATGTAGGGAATTGAACCCGGGTCTTTAGCGTGACGAGCAAACGTTTTAACCACTGGGCTACCCCACCACCCCTATATTCTACACGATAACATCCCATCATGTCACCTTTACCTATTTCAGTCATATGCATTATTACGAAAATAACATTAATGATGAGTATGTATGATAACATTCCTTTTTAATTTCTGTAACACACCTATTTTTTTATCTTCCCAGGCATACTAGGACAATGTCATGTCACATTAAGGCAAGTTGGCCTACATTGCATGGGAAGCTAGGGAAATGGGTTTGATACAACACTGAACATTATTTAACATGTTTAATGTCATACATCTCTTAATAGCATAGTTTTATCTGTTTTATACACAAACAAAAATTGATGTTAGCCATAAGCATTTATAACTTTGGTAGAATGCAGGAACACGGATATGGTTCCGATACAATGAATTCTAGACTTTAACATAGATATGTGAAAGGATGTTAAATCTGTAACCTGTAAAGCTTGTATATTCATTAGGATGTTAACTCAGCTTTACTCTACCAGTTGGTATCATGTAACTCACAAAAAGGTTCAAATGTGTCTTAACATGAAAACACGTCCTTCAGCACTGCTTAACGTCTAAATGAAGAGTCTCACATGGTCTCAGGAGGGTTCAGTTTGTAGGACACTGACAGTGACAGATTTTATGTCAAAATGTCAGAAAGAATTTTTCTAATCATAGTGATGATACAGAAGAACGTCCCATCAAAAGTTGATGAAGTAATGGAAATGTCCTACAACCATGTTTCTAGCAAAATCACAGTAAATGCTTCAGCAATGTTTATTTGACCTCCAGGTCAGCGCTCAGCATGCTCAGACTATTTTAGTCCTTCTATCAAATCATCACCAACATGATCAAAAACCATACCAAAAATAATGACATGTGACCTGAACACCATGCCATTTCTTTTCTGCACCTAATAACAGATTTGAAACTTCCAGTGTACCATGTTGTAGGTTGCCCATAAAATGTGCCATTGATATCAGAGAACATTGCTGTAACATGTGTTTTAACACAAAGCCCACATACAACCCAGCTGATTCACCTAGGGCACAGGCAACCAAACATAGCAAGCCATCTGCCACATCATTCACAGCATTAGTGGTATCCAGAGTCTGACATGCATTCTGCCACTGCATGCAGTTCACCACTATAGCTAGCTAGTTTGTTTGTTTTACAACACAATCTCGGCAATATTCCAGCTATATTGGTCTGTAAAATAATCAAGTGTGGACCAAACAATCAAATGATCATCATGAGCATTGGTGTACAAAGCACTCAACTGTCATACAATGACACACATCAACCAAGTCAGCACCCAAACCTTCTAGTTGCCTCTTGTGACAAGCATGGGTTGCTGAATACCAGTTCTAGCCTGGATCTTCACGGGTACATGCATACAATAATATCACATGTACAGTCAACTCTCGTTAATCTGACACTTGTGGTTGCAGAGAAATATGTCGGATTAACGAAAATGTCGGATTAATGAAAATGTCGGATTAGTGTATTTGTGTGAAAATATCAATGTTTACTAAATGTCATGATCGCCATACTTTATAACTTGAAAAAGTCTTTGATGGTCATTAACATCAAACACGTCTAAGTGGTGTGTCAGAAATGTTTGCAAAGTGTTCAACGATGTTTTGGTCTCAGATAGCTTGAAGCATTGGAATCAGTCGTAGAGACGTTCAACCACTGAGCAGACTGCTTCAGGATGTCAGATACGGTTGATCGTCCAATCTTCACATCAAACTTCTGCTCAGCAAAAGTGATAACTTCTTGTTGTGTTGTCTGGGGTTTGTCTTTCTTCAAAAGGAGATTTCTTTCTTGATCAATAGCGTAACTTCTACAAGGGGTCGCTTAGCAGGTGGTGTACTCGTGACAAACATCTTGTGATGAAAACTCATGTCGGTTGTAAACATTTTATACAGTTCGCTCTGTTATTTCTTTATTAAATCGTCTCAATTAATTATCCTGTGTTCCTAATTAACAAGTGTGATGTTCACTGATGCCAGTGTCAAGCAGCCAGTAAGGCACACGCTAATTACCACTCACGTGTGATTGTTTGTATACGTTAGGATCATCCGACCGGCTGTGTTGATTGTCGGATTAACGAATATTTTTACAATGTATTTACAATAATCAGCTGCTAGATTGGTGTGTCGGAGTCGGAATGTGAGAATGTCGGATTAAAGAGAGTAATTATCACTGTTTTAAATGGTTCCCTATTTTTTTGTCAGATTAACGTGATTGTCGGATTAATGAGTGTCAGATTAACGAGAGCTGACTGTACTTCCTATTCCAGTCTTACTGGAATGATTACTTTGGATCAATAGACCCTCAAACGGTTGTTCATAAACATTTTGATTGATGGATTGTTGGTGGAAAAACCTGTAAAATCTTCATTTTTCACTTGGGACATAGCAGCATGTGAAACAAGCTCTCAGTGGCTACCTTTCATGGCTAGGTTGTTTGTGCTGTAATGCTCATTTGCAGCTGTTGCAGACAATGCAAACATGACAACTGTAGGTTGGTTCTTTGTTTTTAACGCCACACTCCGTAATATCCAGCTATATGGCGGTGGTCTGTAAACAATCGAGACTGGACCAGACAATCCAGTGATCAACATCACGAGCATCGATCTACACAATTGGGATGCGATGGCATGTATGATAGATGAAGTCTTGGTGATTCCAGAACAATAATTGTTTTGACCTTAGACCCAAGAACAACTGATATACAGCCTTTTAAAGAGGGAACTATTTCTTCTCCAGAACTTCTTAAAAGGTACACAACACCTGCGACCCCTGCTGTATTTGGAAGATCCGCTGTCAAAGTGTCAAAAACGTGTTCTGGCACCATTTTGGACGATGATTTCTAGCCCTCAAATACAATTCAAACACCCGTAACTCTCAAACCAACAGTCCGATTTCGACCAAAATGTACCTGTGCAAGTGGGCTATTAGTGTCGATTATAACTACTGATTGCAGTAATGTATCTCCAAAGACTAGCAGTGAAATGATTCTTATCCAAGCCTCATGTAAGAATGTCGAGTTTTGATTGGTTCATGTGACTCTGATAAAATACCATCTATACCCGTCGACGATCCGCAAGCAGGGAGTACAAAAGTCATATCATCCCGCCACACCTCGGTGACCATGCGAAGTAAGAAAAGCGTGCATCGCCAAGCCTTTAGTAACATGCGCTACATTGAGGTCAATGGATCAGCTGGTGTCAACATGGCAGCAAGGAAACGTTTTGCCACAACTGAGAATGAAATTGAGGCGTATTGTTTTCTTTTGATTTAGTAAAAACATTCGGCTAGATAAAAGCGTTATCACATCGTAGTGCTCGGGAAATCGAAATCACAGTAAGGTTGTTACTCTGGCTCGGGAATACAACCTTATTGATAAAACCCCACAGATTTCCGAGACCGATGTGATAACTTATAATATTAACTAAAACAATTACAACTTTCATCAAATATGTGACAGACACAATAGGCTAGATAGAACTAAAGCCAAGGAGCCCTCATCATTGCTTTCAACTATATGGTCATATAATTGCATTTGCATGACTTTTAAACCATATAAATAAATAATACAAAATTTGTACCGGCAAACCAAAATGGCGCCACGCTGCTGCGGATGCTTTTCCTCAAGTTCCAAACTTTAGAGCGAAGTTTTCAATTTGAAACATTTTCAATTGATCTCTTGTACAATTACACCTGACTCCTGACAGTGGCATTGTTTCAAATGAAAGGAAACAGTAATTTCATTACCTTATATCAAACCTGGGTCTTTGATGTGATGAGCGAATGTTTTAACCACTAGGTTACCCCACTGCCCAACTAGATATAAGAAAAACTGAGATGGTAATATCCCTTCTGACTGGATTTGTTGGGGCACATTGTTCAAGGTATTTCTATAAGTTAAATCAGCATTCGCAATTTAGCATGAAAGTCAAGGGGTCCTTGCCATAACCCCCATGCTGAACATGTTGAATACTTGAGACTGATGGGAACCCCAGACTCAAACAATTTAGGACCAAAAACTTCCACTTTCACTTTCAAACAATGACAATGAAATGGAATATTATTCTCTAAAGAATGAGTTTATAAGTCCATCTATATAATTGGAACTGGAGATTCTGCCTGTAAAATCTTTTGACTAATTTAAGTAATAAACATGATACATAGTGAGTGAGTGAGTGAGTGTGGTTTTACGCCGCTTTTAGCAATATTCCAGCAATATCACAGCGGGGGACACCAGAAATGGGCTTCACACATTGTACCCATGTGGGGAATCGAACCCGGATCTTCGGCGTGACGAGCAGACGCTTTAATCTCTAGGCTACCCCACCGCCCCACATGATACATAAACCTGCATCTTGTCCCCATAGCTAGTTCTTTCAGTTCTGTTTCTTTATCTAACCAGAAATTATTTATAACAAGTCATATGTTTTTATCATTTGTACTAAAACGTTTCAGAAATCAATATGAACATGACAAAAACTAACTCATAAAATGGAATAGATGATGTTTAAAAACATCAGCCAATCAAAAAAGTTGATAGCCTATGCAAATGGCAGGTCAGGTTAGGTTAAAATTACATTGTGTGTATTAAGACGAGATAATAAATATTGTATTTGGCCATGATTATGTTGGTGACAAATTTTGAATACTAGTAGTATTTTCACGATTCTTGACCTATTACCAGCCAGGTTGATATTACAATTTCATAATTTTTATAGTTAATTCCTCACTTAGCATTTTAGCTAAAAGATAGCAGCCTGTAAATAATCTGAAAACATGAGTGAGATGATAAATTTAATAGGGTAAATTGCAAGGTTTGATGCTGGTCAAAATAAGTCAGTGGTCAAAAGTACCAAAACACTGAAAAATCTACTCAGTAACTCAGCAATCTCTACTACTAGTACCAGACACAATTGTGTTGACTGAAAAGGGTTTTAATAATATTACTTCATTCAAATTCTGAAAGCATAGAAATCATCATGATGAGATATCTAATTTCAACCAATAACAACAATCCACAGGATTCTGTGGCATTTGATTGGCCAATTAAGCATTTTCTTTTGCCATTAGGTTTTCATAAGCTTTGACAAAATTTGGGCACACCCATTAATGGCCTACTGTTTCTTTGTCAGAATGGGCGTGGCTTGTGTTGACACTTGTATTGACTTTGTCACTGATTTCATATTGTTGTCTAAAGTTTTAAATGTTAATGATTAAATAAGCTGTCTGCTGTTACTGCTGACATATTGACATAAATTCATGTTAATAGATATGCATTTGGGTGTATCGTTAAAAGCCAGAAATGGCACAGTTCTACCTTATTACACTATGTAAGTCTGAACATAATTTAGGGTCTGATCATATATAATAGGGAAGGGTCATGACAAATGTTACATGATGTGCCTAAAAACAAACAAACTAACACACATAAATTAATCTGTCTAAATTAATTATAACCGTGAAACCATTGTGACAAACTTACTGCAGGGATCTAAGACTCAAACCGAAGTGTCTTTGGCAAGTTAATGAGAAAACAAATATTATTTTTTTCAAAACTATTTTCGGAGCCCTATTTTCTTTCCTTCAGATATATTCTTTCATCATATTTTTGCACCACATTCAATGCAATTATTATTACATGTCTCTTTATCATAATTACTGTTCCTGTAATCAGTCAGTAATCAGCGAGTTATCATGGTTATATTTATAAGTCACCTTAACCAGCTTTGGGTGCTGGGCTCAGAATTTGGCAAAAAGAAATTCATGTGGTTGATTAAATCAGGAGTTACAGGTTACCATTAAGTTTTCCTAAAATATCAATGTATTACACATGCTCATTATCATGATTCTATCCTAAGCTTACTTAGAAGCAAGCAAATCTATAATTACCATGATTACAAACTACCCCAGTCACCAATTTTATTGACAAATTCAACAGTGCTTTTTAAAGCAGAGGGGAAGTCTCAGGCTTATCATAATGATCATAAGATTCACATTATAATAATGACATAAATTCTCATTTAACCATAATTCCCAGAACACAGTGTAAAATAAAATGAGAGTTCTGAGTTTTGATAACTATGAGTAATATGTTTTCGGTTCATTTATCGTATTATGAATTCAACACAACATTACTAATTGTGGTTGTGAGTTCTATTGTTACACACTTGTACCAAAGAACTCCAAGACATTGGTGTATGTGGTAATTTGGGGCTATTTTAGTCACCAACAGCAGACACTACACAAGAAAGCAGGAAAGCCACAACAGTATTTGGTCCAAGGGTACATGTGCGTTGAGAATTACGTAACGGTGTGAATTGAAGCCCGCCGTTGACCGCTGTCCGGCTCCGGCCACAATGCTAACTGACCTGTGGGGGCGGGACTCGCGGTGTCAGACAAAATGAGGCCGACCCGGTCGTGTTTACATCATGTGGAATCCATGCGATGCAACTTCCACAAACTTTTTCTCACAAAGGATTGATGAGATAAAACTGACTCGGCAAACACATGTAGGACCGAACTACAATCTCGGGAGAACTGAATATTAATAAGAAAGGATGTATTTGTATAGTTTTTGAGGCGAAACATATTGGCTTCCCAAAGTACGGACGACAGCAGTGTTGACACTGTGGCCTAGATTTCCCGACAATCTTCGGCACCGATTAGCATAGATGTGTATCATTTTCATGTGATGTTATTTGCCTGGAATAAATTTTAACATACCTTCCGTGGAACCAGTCCTTGCATACGTCACATTCGATCATGAAAAGCGTTTCATCGTAAGGTTGGCGACATAAACAATATATCGGCTCCGTATCGGACGCCATGTTGAATGCACGTTCGGACAAAAGCACAGTCTTCGGCTTCGCCCGTATAAGGTCACGGAAATGAACGAACAAAGGCGGAATTTACCGACTCCCACGCACCTGTTTTGATTGTCGAGGGCGCGATGGCTTAATCATATCATAGCACTTTTACCATGAACAACCCGCCAAGTTCAAAAACAGCAAAACTTTCTTTAGAACTATTTGACTATAATGAACAACACACCTTTATATATAGATAATATCAAGGGCTTTGCTTCTTATTGATAATGTAGGTCATCATTTCGTAAATATTCTTTGGCACTTCTCATTCATTTGTTATAGGGATGTGGGGTGGGCCGGTGAAATTGGACTTTGGGCTTTACTTAGACACCCGCCCACGTAACATACGGCTTTATTATTACGTAAACACAGAAAAGGAATATAATACAGATGCTATCAGTTGCACGATAAATTAAGGCAGACAGAAACTTTACAACATTTGAATTTAATGATGTCAATACATCATTGAATTTATCACAATGAGGAAATACATATATAGGTATATGGGTATACATATGTAGGTATACATATGGAAGTCTATACTTACAACGATGTTTGTGATACAACGGGCATATGAAAATAAAAGGGTACATGTGTTCTCTTAGTTATTATTCTCTTATAAGTTTACTATATCATTCTGCTTCAATAAATAATGAATGCGTGTTATCAGCGTTCGAAATACGTGTTATCAGCGTTCGAAATACCTGCCTGCCCGACCGGTAACCTCCCAAAACTTAGACAGCCATATCTTAGACAGCTTAAAACAACAACAATTCTGGTTCAGTGCACAACTAATCCTCAAGCTGATACCTATTTCTTATAATGGATCAGTCCAGTAGAATCAATTACACAAGACGTTATGTTCATTCAGCATAAGTATTATAAGTTCAACAGAGATAAAAAATAAATAGTAAATAATAAATATGGTATGTTGATGTCCATTCTTGGCATATTAAGTAGCATTCCACCTAAGAATCAGGCAGAGGTGGATAAGTCAAAATTGCATATTCACTTGAAATTTTGTCATTCTCTTTATTTGGCCTTGTAAAATGTCATGTCACTCAGAAATGTTTCTGTTCTCAATATTTTCATTAATTAGCCGTTAATTAAAGTTCTACGAAATTGACCAAGAATCGCATGTGAAAATGTACGAAAATACTATTTTTCAGTTGACAATATTGTTAAAACCATTCATGCTGTCAGAATTATTTTACTTTGTATTGAAAGAATACATATAACTTTCACAGTTATATTTTTGACTGGTTATTTTCAACATGCACGGATTGACAGATTTCAAATTCACCTGCCCGACGGTCGGGTTAAAATGTAGAAATGTATATTAGCAGCCAGTGGTCTGGCTGAAATGTTTGGAAGTTTCATACCCTGGTGTTATTGCAGTCGGCGGATATTGACACTGTACTCGGTTATTGGTACCAATGTGGTTTCTTGAGGTTTTATGCCAGATTTATTTTAAATTACCGTACTTGTTAATGTCATACGACCATAGTTATCAGTACTAAAAGATGAGACGATTCTTTATGCGAGAATAAACTACATTTCGTTATTTTAGTTTTAAAAATATACTAATAATAAAGGATGCGATGATATCCTGAATCTGGTCAATGCGATTCTGTATTTACAGTGGTTCTTCCGTTTAGAACTGTTCTTTAAACGTAGCTTAAAACTGGCCTTTGGCTATTAATGTTAGTGAAGAGAGTCAATTTTGTATAAAATGTCCTATAGTCTATAGGACTGTAGGAGCACATTATTATAAGGACCCGTGAAGATCCGGATTACAATATTTATCTTCAGTAACCCATTGCTTGTCGTAAGAGGCGACTAACGGGATCGGGTACGTGGTCAGGCTCGCTGACTTGGTTGACACATGGCATCGGTTCCCAATTGCGCAGGTCGATGCTTATGCTGTTGATCACTGGATTATCTGGTCCAGACTCGATTATTTACAGACCGCCGCAATATAGCTTTAATATTGCTGAGTGCGGCGTAAACCTAAACTCACTCACAAGTGTATGAAATAAGCCAAAACCCCAGCCAGACATCAGGGCTGGTAACTTCAAAATGTTACCAGTCCAAAATGGATTTAACCAGACCAGACACCAAGATATGACTCAGATGTATATAACATCTAAATTTTTACCAGACCATCGGGCTGGCTAGCTGTAAATCTAGACCGTCCGTCTGAAATCTAACCCGTCTCGGGCGGTCGGACGAGCCTTATTTCATACACTGCACTCATTCACATTATAATAAGCTCATCAGGAAACTCTTCATGTTGACTCTGCCAAATATAAACACTAGTGAACGTTCTGACCGATAAAATGCACTTTTATTTGATTTGATTAGTATCACCTTCATATCATAACACGTGTTTGGGGTTCGATCCCCGACCGCGTCATACCAAAAGACGTTAAAATATGGTACTTGTTGGTCCCTGCCTGGCGCTCGGCATTAATGGGTACAACAAGGACTGGTCGGCTCGGAGTCAGTATAATGTGTCTGAGTGGGGTATTCATGCTTCACTGCGGCATGGTATCTCAGTGGGCTAGCACTATAAAACCAGCTTCAGTCTGGGCTAGTACAAGCAGCCGCACATACCCACGCATGCACGTCGTCATATGAGCGAAATATTCTCAAGCACGACGTTAAACCCAATTCCACCACCACCACACTTTTTTGGATGGCTTTTTTATCACCACTGCACACCCATGTTTTATTTAACAGTTAGTAAGTAATGCTATATACCCTTCAAATACATGAAAGGCTTGATAGTGATACTTTACACGTCATATGATAGAGGGGCGGTTGAGTAGCCTAATAGTTAAAGCGTCCGCTAGTCACGCTGGAGACCCGGGTTCGATTCCCCACATGCACATGGGTACGATGTGTGAAGCCCATTTTTGGTGTCCCCCGCCTTGATATTTCTTGAATATTGCTAAAAGAGGCGTAAAACCAAACTCACTCACTCACTCACAGTGTCTAATGGGCGGTGGGATAGCCAAGTGGTTAACGCGTTCGCTCGTCATTCCGAAGACCAGGGTTCGAGTACCTCCATGGGTACAACGTGTGAAGCCCATTTCCGTTGTCGTGATATTGCTGGAATATTTTTATTTTCCATATTCATCAAGAAACAAACCTGTTTTGTTGTGATTGCCCAGATTTGCTTCATGTCCAGCCGCGTAGCAGGCCATTTTGTCCATGTAAGCCCGATAGGTATAAGTTTTATATTTAGATAGTATTGAGGGCTTGCCCAACCTTTTCAGCAACAATCATGTGTAAGCCCGGGCTTTTTCATAATGGTAGCTACGCCCCTGAATGTTCAGCATGAAAAGTGGGAAAATGTACCTTACATGTTAGTGGTGTTGACTGAAAATAATATCCCGAACAGAAAAACGTCAAGGAGGGATATTTGAGGGATATTTTTATTCATTGAGGCCTCAGTGAACACGCAATGCCATTTTAGAAAGTGGTCAATTGTAATTTGTGGTCATGATATTTTGGGGACTACACTTTCTTAGTAAAGTACTGGTACTAATTTAGTACTTTTGGGGTTGAGTACCCTCCGAGATCAGAAGCCACACTCTCAGCACCTGCACCAACTCAGCACACTGTAAGTGACAAAACCCACTCAGCCAGCGCGGATTCCACGAACACGGATGTCTGACAACTGACTGACTGACTGAGTTTAGTTTTACGCCGCTTTTAGCAATATTCCAGCAATATCACGGCGGGGGACACCAGAAATGGGCTTAACACATTATGCCCATGTGGGGAATCGAACCCGGGTCTTCGGCGTGACGAGCCAACGCTTTAACCACTAGGCTACCCCACCGCCCCTTGTCTGACAACTGGTAGTGTACACGTTGTATACCTTTCTGGGTGCTGGGTTGACAAGACATCCCCCAAAATGTTCATGATCCCTGACCCATGAAGACCCGAGTAAGAATTGGTCTTCAGTACCCCATAGTTGTTGTAAGAGGCGACTAACGGAATCAGGCGGTCAGGCTCGCTGACTTAGTTGACAAATGTCGTCGTTTTACAATTGTGCAGGTCGATGCTCATGCTATTGATCACTGGATTGTGTGGTCCGGACTCGATTATTTACAGACCGCCACCATATAGCTGGAATGTTGATGAGTGTGGCGTTAAACAACGAAAGAGCCTCCTCACCCAAAGGATGATCCCCCACTACTTTTGTTCAGTTTAGATAGGATCTCAGCCAGCCAGTATATATAGAAATCGTTTGTAAGGTGAGATAAGATAAAACACAATGCACTGTCTTGTTTATGTTTGGATGTCCTCGGGCATTGCATGGGTAGTCTTGGGGTTAGCTCGTCACTCACAGAACGAGGTTCGATTGGATTTAACATGTGATGTCGATTCTTTGAGCCTCCCGCAAATTTATGTTTGGAATACTGCCACAAACACCTGTCCATTCTCCAGTTCAATGTGTCTGATATAATCTCTCACTGGTAACACAACTAGTTGGTGAACGGTCCCAACCTAGCATTGTTATTACTGCTATGTTTTTACTCTAAATATCCACATACATGCAGACATGGCAACTGCACCTGTTTCGTTTCACCAGCGATGGCGAAAGATGAGGGTGTTGTGGTACAAAGTAACCATAGCACTAAGATCACTTTGTGCAACACAAACAGACCCAGACAGGGTTTTCGCCCACTTTCAGATCCGGCCACGGAGACCAGACAGCGCACCTGCAAACGTCAGAAGAGATAATGCCACGGCATATGTATGATCGTGCGGTCATGACTTGCACGACCTTTCCTCGTGCTGCACGTGCAGTGTCACTTTTCATGTTACCTGCCGTCGCAACTGATAAGATACTGTCTAACTTGGTAGTGGGAAAGTGGGAGATATGTTTGAACGGAAAGGATAACAGCGTTTGAGTAACATCCAGTTTTTAATTCACGGGGAGGTGAGTTCATCCCTCAGTGAGTTTATATCAGACACTCCAGGTGATGTTGGATCTTTAGTAATCGTGTTCAAGAGATACTTTTTGAAAACATGTTCTCTTTTCCCCCCACGGTGAAAAGAATATTCAGTTTGAGTATCACTTGTTTGATCTGATTTGTTTGTTCCAGCGAAAGGAACGCGGTCTGTCAATAATCGGATCTCGACTAGACATACCAGTGATTGGTATTGTTAAAGTTACCACACAAGTCATTAAGTCTGCTAATCGCCTACAAGGACCGAAAAGGTTGCAGGGTACAAATTCTTAACTGAAATCGAATGATTAGATTATTTAAAGGGCTATCAAGGTAGTCAACAGTTTAAAAAAGAAAGACAGCCACTGAACAAAAGTTGCCATAGTAATTTCTTATCTATTTCCCGTTTATATATATTTTTGCATTCTTTTAAAACCGTTGTGTGTGGAACAGATATGGTTGGACAAGGTATTGGATGGAATGGAGAGAGTGAGTGAGCAGAGTTTTACAGCGTTTTTAAAACAATATTCATGACAAACACTAGCAATGGGTTCACACATTGTACCCATGTGGGGAATCGAACCAGGTCTAAACACACGACAAATTAATGTTTTGACCACAAGGCTATCCTGTATGCAATGGAATGGAAAGAAATAGTGTGTGTCAAGTCAGTCAAGTGAAGGGACTACAACACATGGTACTTAATGACATGTGAGGGGAGTTATAGATCTTTCACACAATTTCAAACTCAGGATGAATTTTACATCTATTTCATCTGACACATATTCTATTCAATTCTAACACTAGATTTAGAGAACATAACGACACAGAAGAAACAGAGTTCTAGAACATATTTATTGTGAGTCATCTGTACAGTACAAGATACACAGGAAAATACTCAATTACTTCATGTTAAGTAGCAAATTGTTGAAGTAACCAGGTTTTAAAAATATATTTGAAACTCATTCACAAAAGACAAGCCATAGATACCATGCGAGTTTTACCAGCTCAGCTGAACTTCATTTCCAATTTGTCAATGTTTTTATACAGGAATATCATTAAATGCTTTAGTAGCAATACAAACTGTTTCAAACTCCACAAATCGATGTCAAGATATACAATTTCTTAATCACATGTGACTAAAAACTGATAACATGGGTGTTGGCAACCAATCACATTGTCAAATTTCATCATCTTTTGTGGTTAAAATGATAATTCATATTTGTTTTGTCTTCTTTCAAAATGTTGAGAAAACTTTGGAAGGAATCTTTGACACAAAGGTTCAAGTTACATTAGGCTAATGTTGAAATCAAGATGTATCAGTGATGTGTCTTTTGTTAGAAATATCCCTGATGAAATTTGAAACTGAAAAATCAAGTAATTTACCCTTCATATTTGAATAACTTGAGAAAAGAGCAAGACATTATGCATTATCAACAAGAGTTTGGTTTCTCTGCAAATACACACACACAATTTCAATACATTTATTCTTCACTAGCATCTGTTGTCTGATCACGACAACTGTTCTGCTGGAGAAAAGAGCACAATACATTCACAGACATTAACACTGTACATGTTTTCTTTACGAATGTAATTGTGGCAACTGGTTCTATGGTACCTACACCACACACCATAATAGCTGAATTGTTTTGAAATTCTAATATTAATGGGCCATTAAATTAATCGGATGACATATGCATTTCTGCCAATGGTGGGACCTTTCCATTTTTAAAAGTGCTTGAAATGATTGCTTTTCTTAACCATAACAGACAAAAATGTACATTTATTATGCACAGAACTGGCTGCAAAGTGCTGATGTCAAACTGTTCACGCTATTCGTGTTCTCAGTGATATTTATAAAAAACATTCGAGTAATACTATTTGGAGGCGTGAAGAGTCGATGGAAAAAGAATTTTGATTATTTTACTTTTACAAAGTCGGTGGATCAATGGTTCAACAATTTTAAGAAAGAATGGCCAAATTTTATGCAAAGCAATTTTTTCATTTTAGCCTATGAACTACATGTATCTGTTGTAATGAAAGTTAACAGGTCATATGACATTGCTGTGACGTTAACATGACATACACATGCAATACATCACACAAATTGGGAAAGTAATGTAAAGAATGGCGATACCTGATTGAAATTGCATAGTTCAGATGTCTTGTATCAAGGGAGCTAAACAGAGAGAAAGAAAACAAACTTTCTTCATCAAAGCTTGTTTTTCCGGAGCCCACAGACTGGCTCATCTACGGAGAAGGTAGGTGCAACACACACAAATAGTAACAGCCATACACTAAACAAATAGACGTTGGTTTATAGTGAAAGACTATAAATAAACATATCTGTTGGGAAAATGCAAATCAACATTTTTCCAGCTAATTTTATAAATATTTACACAAATATTGATGACATCCTAATTCTACACAATATTGCATTCTTTCAGTCCAAGCCAAACCATTCTCAACAAACAATTCTACAATGGAATTATCAAACCATAGTAGAACTAAGGTGATTTTGTTTCTTGTAGCACAATATCGAGCTATGTAAGGAAATATTTTTATTTATTTTTGTTCTTTAAACAAAATCAGCTCTGTCCTACCTACCCATGTTCACTGATGGTGCATCATGTACTGCTCGTACACGAGGTTGCCATGTAGGTATCCAAAATACATGACCAACAGAATGCAAATACCAGCAAAATACAATTTAATGATAAAAATAAAATAACATACTTCTAGGTCTGACGTTACACATCATCTGGTGAAATGTGAATAATATAAGCACAAATGAAAACAAAATTCTTACTAATTTAAGTTATTAAATACATCTTGAAATGACATTTTTCACAGACTTAGGTCTTGTTGTGTTTGAAGGATTCGTGATATGGACAACAATGACAAGGCTTTATCTGTATTTGTGCCAGAATTCAACAGTTGTATGTAATGTGAAGACCGAACCTGGTCTGAAAGGCAGTGCAGATGTGACTAGAATGATACACACTGAGTCAATGCTAATTATGATCCTAAATCTCTATAGAATCATCCTTCACAGGTTTGGATTTTCATTCATCAACTTCACAAGTGAAGGATGACACAGCCAATCTGTCTAAAATCAGATCCTTTACTTTTATTTGATTCAACATCTTGCTGTCAACATCTGACAAAACCGACACAGGTCGTACAGCTAAACTTGTTATTTGTTGGTTGTTGATGGTCTGTATGTAATCAAGTCTGGACTAGATGATCCAATGACTGACATCATGAGTATCGATCTACATCAGTGAGATATGATGACATGCATCAACCAAGTCAGTGATCAAGTCCACCCATCAGGGAAAGAAACCTTTCAAAATTACCAGTAGACCACAGGACCAGTGAGTGGACAATAATTACTGGTCCTGTCTGTACTTCACTGGTCCAAAATAACATTCGTAGATTTATGTAACTATCAATACAAAATTCACTAGCCACCAAGACCACTGCAAACTTATCATTTACTGGTCCTGATGAATTTTTACTTGCCAGGGACCAGAGGACCAGCGTTAATTTTCCCGCCCTTTCCATGATGAGTGTGGTTTCTGAAGAGATACTGACTGGAACTTAAAAATAAACAAATATCAAGTTCTGTTTGAGGACTAATACTAGCGGTTGGTATGTTGTGTGTGTATTTTATCTCACTGCTTGTGTCTTAAAATCCAAGCTTGACAAGGGAGTCAAATATTTCACAAAGATGACATCTTAACTTAAAAGATGTGACCTATGGAGAGTTTCAGTGTTTCTAACATCAAACTGGAGAATGACATCTAATTTTAAACAGATTGACAACAAAAGGTGCTGGCATCTATGTACAAACAAAGCAATCTTGTGATTTCTTGATTAAAGTGTCTACACATATGTACAATTACTCACTATGATGAACACATAATCTGTGCTTGGTGACACCGTGAATGTACCCCGCGCTATGATCACTGAATGGAATTTGGTGATGACAAGTATGCTATATAAATAATGAAGAAACCATCTACTGAATGTTAGCCGGCGCCTTCATATCCCTTCACAGCCTTTTTCGATTCTTGGTTTACAGATAATCTTTTCAATTGAAGTGGATGGTGTTCAAATGCGAAAACATATGCATATTTTCTTAAAATATCAGTAAATTGAACTATTATACAAAAACATTTACTTTCTATATCAAAGAATTTCTTCAAAGGACAAATACATGATTTCTTTTCATATAAATCTCCCAAGTCTTGTTTTTTTAAAACATATTTCAAAGATATTTTGTGCATGTTTTTCTTGGTATCTTTGCACTTACTGTAACAAGCTTTAATGATATTATACAAATAGGCATATGTCTGATTATTTGTAGACATATTTGACATACTTAAATTACAGTTAAACCAAATCATACATTAAAAGAAATGCGCAGAGTACATTTTCTGTTACCCCATGTTGAATCATGATCCATAATTGAAATGCAAAGTTTCACTAATTATCTCCCCTTAGACTTTCCTGCCCCACAAACAGCCATCCTCCCACCTGAAACACCCCACCAGTCAGTGGCAATGTGGTTGGACACAAAAGACAAGTCTATCTGCAGATACCATTTTATACCCAAAGATTCTTCATTTCATTATTCTTATTTCATGAGATCACAATTTTATTCAAACTTGAATCAGCACAATGACGCCTATACTCTGATACAAAACATGGCCTGGATATGCACTATAGCACCCAGAGTTGGTGCCATTTCAAAGATATCAGTTTCTGCAAGTGTTATCCATGAGGTGCCAGGTTTAAATATTGCATTCATGAAACTATCCCTGACATAACACTACATATGTATTCATTGTGTAAAACATTATCTGATGTAAAATGCTATACATCCTATGCAAAGACTCGACATATTTCAAAATTAACATTTTGGTTGATTTTTTTTCTCTCATCTTTTTAAACTATAGTGAAAAACAAAATATTGAGCGAAACATCCATTTTGTGCATCTGGTCTTAAGACATTTTGTATGGAACAGGTCCACTAAAAAGACATAAAACAACATTCACATGAACTTTGGGACAAATGTAGACTATGTATTATGTACATCTGGGTTTTACTGAAAATATACTTTCAAATATACATATTACTTGACATGGCTTGAGTAAAAACTCCCCATTTCTAAACAAAGTGTTGTACTGAACCATTGTTGCTGACACAAATAGTGACCCCCTAAACTGTGAACCCTTCACACAGTAGACATCTTTAGTCTGGACCCTGCATACAATAAAACCTTGTTAGTTTGAACCCTGTATGAGTGAAACCTCATCAATCTGAATCCTGTATACAGTGAACCCTTGTAAATCTGGACCCTTCATAAAGTGAACTCTTCTTAGTCTGGACTTGCCAAGATGGGGACACATGAAGGAATATTACACCTCACGGACGTGTTAATCTTAAAACTCTGAGATTGGATTTTTTTTTACAGATATATTGTAGTCAACCTTCCTGACAACACATCAGTTTGGAAATAAGGTGAGCATTACTCAAGGACCCATAATACTTGATGCCTTGAGCACGGAGTTGGACAGCAAGACTTTGTGCCACATTCAGCCTGGCAAGAATACCAAGTTGCTAAACACACAGTCAATCACCTTTTAACCATCACAATTAGATCAGCATTTTGTATCTTATCTTCAAGACCATTAAAGAACTCACCCACAATAGATGAGGGATGAACAACCTCCAGACAATTATGTCAGCTACAGTACCAGTCTGTGACGATGGTCACCATGGAATTGTCAGAAACTCTGTCCTTTCATACACATTAATGCTTTGTAATGCATACAAAGATTGTACTTATCTTGTTGACCATTAACATGAAACATTAAACTTTCAGGGTTCCCTATGTATATATGGATATGGTGACTGACCAGGCAGTTTCAACATAACAACTACAGCCCCACTGATTGGACCTGGGCCTGACACCTACACACCTTGACAATATATACAATCTGCAAATTATCTTTAGGTCACAGACACCTGCTTTTTTTCAAAACAATTTGCTCGATTGATTTAAGCTATTTTGGATAGACCCCTATGACAACATGTAATGTCAACAACAAAAGATAATCATGCATTTCCTTCTGTGTGAGACTTAGAACTTATAGTATTTCAGAGTAAAACATTCATTTTAGGCCTTTGAACATCATTTCACTAATGTGTTTGAATATCCCCGACTTTATCTTTACAGGCTTCTATAGTCTTGTTCTGTGTACAGATACAGCATCAATTGAGTTTCCATGACAACCTTACATTTTGCAGTGGTTGGATGGGGAGGGCGTGAATACAAACCACTGATAATGAACCGTATCTGGAACTGAGCCCATACCTTGTGATGCAGGAAACACCTTCTCCACTGAGCTAACCGTCACTCATAGACTGTCCACCTTACAAACATCTCACTCCAAACCCACGTCCCTCTGCTCTCTGACAACACAGATGATTCATGACAACTCTCTCCATCTCTGTACAATCAAGTTCATGGCAAGGAACTATCTATCCACATGCCATCGTCATGACAAACTTTCGACCATGTACACAACATTTCAATATACAAAACATTCATTCCAGGTAAGATACCATGTTGCAACTTGTATTCAAGAGGATCTAAATTGTCTATAAGACATGATATGGAAATACGGCCTATATCAAATGTGTTCCAAATATACAATATCCATATGTTTTCAGTAAGACCTTCAGTTGAGTCACGTCCTGGCTGTTCACTATGGCTCTATACCAATCAGTGTATTTTCCAGGGATGGCAACAGGAAAATCTATTTTCAGCTGAAAACGTAATATTGTGTCATCGATTTGAGGGTTTCTCAATGGATTTAGACGATTCACAACTGAACAATTTGACATAAAATCCATGGGAAAATTGCCATCCCTGAATTTCTGTCAACATATCCTGCCTCGGCCATGAAACTGAAGCACGAATGTGTGCACCTCAAGGCAGGCTGGAAAACAAATCTTAAGTACAGCCTCCGTTGCATTGACTGTAAAGTTACAAATGTCCGATAAGGCACATCCCAAATTTTATCTTGTTGAATGAAAATTAGGAACTATCTTAAAAGTAATAGTAATATTCAGAGGAGGAATGACTTTCTTAAAGGATGGGGTTTCAAATTCTTTGCATGTGTGTGTGTGTGTGTGTGTGTGTGTGTGTGTGTGTTTGTGTATTTGTGTTTACATGTATACATTAAGAACACAAAGTTATTTGGGCGAGGGTGTTATTGGAGTCTGCATAAATCCAAAAAGAACCCAACCCCACACCACAAAATCTGCAAATCAGAGTCCAGAGAACTATTAATTTACATTTTACTGTTGTTGATCTTCTTCTTGTATGTGCCAAAAAATATTTTCTGACAAATGTTCTTAACCTTGGACACATACAAAAAGATTCACCTAGACATAACTTCCGTGTACAATACAACTTTTGATAAAATCTCTGACAAATATCACAGCTATGATTTAAGTGGGAGTGTAGGTCATGTTTACACAAAGACTACCATGTCGATTACACCATGCCATAAACTAAACTAGCCTCCATGTTTCTTGCTGAATACTGTCCACCTTCAGCCCACCTCCCCACAATACTATAGTGACTTGCGTCCACAACTGTCCACTCTCTAGTGACTTCTCAGCAGCACTCCGGGTACGCCGTGTGATGAGGGAGGCGATGAAGTCCGAGCACAGATGAAGATGGAGATGAAGATTAATGACTGGGGGATGATTACTCTCGAGGAACCTCTTCCTCCAAACCGCTGGCAGCTTTCACTCACGAACTCTGAAACGGGCATGAGAGAAATTCTAATTTGAGCAACAGTGGTGGAAATAACCCATTGCCCGACGCCCAGTCCAGTGTTTTTTTCTGTTGAGCTAGCAAATTTGTATATCACTCTGTACCGGTGTCCAGTTGACTTTCCAATGTTAATTATGTTGTTTATTATAAAAATCAACAAGAAAACCGGTATAGTGGAAGAATTATCAGGGCAAGTGATTTTACATGTGCCACTGTACCGGAGTACACTAGCAATTTTAAAGTTATTTCCACCCCCGATCGAGTGAGTAAGTTTAGTTTCACGCTTTAAGCATTATTTCAGCAATATCACAGCTGAAACAGAGCCACCAGAAATGGGCTTCACACATTGTACCCATGTGGGGATTGAACCCAGGTCTTTGGCGTGACGAGTGGATGCTCTAACTACTAGGCCACCCCAACACCCCAAGACAAAGGAATGTCCCTGCTGTATGTGGCTTAGTGTTTAGAACCAGCAAGTTAACTTCAATTTGAACTACTCACCAGTCCACCGTCTTTAAATGCCCAACTTCTACCTCCTGATATACTAAATCTGAAACACAACACAAGGATGTGATGAAGACATTTACAATGATGTCCGGACCCAGGAATGTACCACCTGATAACAGTGGGAAATCAAAGAATATTTTGTTCATAATAATAAATTATAATACTATCAAAAATGGCCTCAATAGGTTATCAAAAAATTAATTTCTTAGATTCTGAAGCTCACTTCAAGTCTCAACGCTATTTCGGCTAACAATCCACACACAAAAACCATCATAAAGAAGCAGCTAATGGATTTCAAGAGTCTGTGTCTTGCCATGTGACTCTAGCTAGTGAGAACTTTACACAGACTTACTTTTCCACTCTGGTATACTGTAATCACTGTCCTCGAAGCCCCAGTCAAAGGGAGCTGATGTGGGCTCGTCAGTTGGGTCTGCGTACTGACCTAGATACTTGTGTGCCAGAGCCTCTTCCGCAGTCAGACGGTTCTTGGCGTCCAGGTTCAACATCATCTCCAGCAACATGATGGCTGATGAGCACAGGGAGGGTGAATTAGGGGATAAGACAACTGTGTTTTCAGTGGATTCAAAAGTAGATTCCACAACTCTAAATGTCCAGTTTTATTACACTGTTTGCAAACGGGAAAACGTGGCCAGGATCTAACCAGGATCTTAAACTAAGTGCTCCTGGCAAGCAAATCGGAAAAAAATGTGCATTATGTCAAAGATTTTTCTATGTTTTCACGTTCTTGACTTCAGAGGTAAGCCTATTTTAACATTGTAATTTTTGACTGCATTTAATGCAATAATTACATAATGTATAGGGTGTTTAATGACATTTGTAGTATACTTATGACCGAATATTGGCCTCTGAGCAAGTCTAGTTCAATTCAAGTTGGCATGTATTCTGGGCAGTACATACCATCCGGACTGGCACCTATGAAGAGCTCCTTGAAGTCTCTCTTGTTCCACTTTGGTAATTGAGCAATATAATTCCTGGCCTAGATTGAAAAGAGAAATAAGAAAATTAAACTGTGAACAAATGAATCAATCTGTATACTAAAGCAAGCCATTAGCAAATGCTCTTACCACAAGGCTACCCCACCCCTTCCCCATCAGTTTAACTTCAACAACCAATGAAATGAATCTCTGGACCACAGTCCATCTCAGATCTAATTTAAAAAAATAGACCATGAATAATATTTACTGATACATTTATACAAGGTTAATATAACCTCATATCTGAAAACAATGTTTCCTGACTAGAGCGAGTTTAGTTTTACACTGCACTCAGGAATATTCCAGCTATATGGCGGCGGTCTGTAAATAATCGAGTCTGCACAAGACAATCCAGTGATCAACAACACGAGCATCGATCTGCGCAAATGGGAACCGATGACATGTGTCAACCAAGCCAGCGAGCCTGACCACCCGATCCCGTTAGTCGCCTCTTACGACAAGCATGAGTTATCCTGACTAGAAAAACATGAGTGAAGCCTGAACTATAGTGTTCCTATTGGTAGCAAAGATGGTCTGCAACAAAGCAAGTCTAGTAGAAGTAACGTTGATCTTTCAATAATTCACAACAGAGTAACCACCCAACTGTTTTAAGACTACATCATTCTAACTGATCACAAAATGAAACCAGGTTGCAAATGGGTCCAGGAAATATATCATCATCGACTGAAGACAAAATATACTGGATAATTTAGGATGTTATATACTTCATGTCACAATCAGATCAATGTCAACACAACTCACATCTTTGCTCTCTATGCTGTCTAGCAGCTCAAGGCCAGGGGTGCCGACCAGCGACAGGATTTTGTTCAGTTGATCAATGTCTATGTTGGGTTAAGGAAAAATCTCTTGCTTATTACTGGTGTACAGGGTGGAATGCTGTCTCGCAAATATCAAGTCAAAACAGACAAACCAGAGGTTGACAGTATCAGCATCTAGAACAATTGTTTACAATGGTGATCACCACTGGTGGCTAAAATTTGGGCTGTTTTGTTAATAATCCATACAAAAACATGCCACTACTCACCAGTGACATTTCTTTCAGACATTTTTGCTCAGTTTTATCTCCGATATTGATCGATATCGATCGATATTTAGTTAACGATCATCTATCTCTATAATCTATATCGACAGCCAACCCTCGTGCTGGCGGTCATTATACCCATTCAATCCACATTTTTACTTGCAGAGATTCATGTTTATGTTTTTAGAGTTGCAAGATAGAAGTCCTTGGATAATTAACTTCCTAGGCCATTTTTAGTTAATCCCTTTCATCTTCAAGGGGTAACTTTAAGGCAAGGCAAGGATCCCAAGATGTTTTTATACTAGTGTTAACCACATTTTTACACATTTGGTTTTGCCTGAGCGTAAGGATACGATCTGTTCCGGGGAACAGGGGTCTGCTGGTCAGCATCTCGGCCATTATACATCCGACTGACCAGATGTCCACTGAAACACAAACATCAACAATAAGTTTCCATCACCAAATGTCTTACTGGGCAGTCAGGGATTGTCTCCCCTCTTGCTGATGTCACCATTCAGCCCAGTTTTAAACTGTTAAAATACATTCTAACATAAATTTACAGTCAGTATCTCGGCCATTATACATCCAACTGACCAGATGTCTACTGAAACATAAATATAAACAATACGTTTCCATCAGCACGTGTCACTGGGCAGTCAGGGATTGTCTCCCCTCTCGCTGGGGTCGACATTCAGCCCAGGCTAAACTATTAAAATACAGTCCAATATAATTTACATCCTATGCTTTGCAAAGGTGATTTGTATTTCTCTGACAGCTATTAATAGCAAGATGAATCAAGAGAAAAAGGTTCAATATTCAGTTTCAATTATTGCACTGAAAGCAATCTTTAGACTATCATTATTTCCAATTGTTGACTACAAAATTCATCTTTCAAAAAAAAATTGTCACTTACTTTGTGCCCACAGACAATGAAATCTGCCACACACAACAACTAGAAAACAAAGAAAATTGTACGTATTTTGAATACCCACCTGTTTGCGTGTATCTCATCCAGTTGAGCATAATCTCGGGCGCCCGATACCATCGTGTCGCCACGTACCCAGTCATCTCATCCTCTGTGTGGCGGGCCAGGCCAAAGTCCAGGATCTGGTCAAGTACACACACAAGATTAGGAAACTCCATACAGACAACAGACAACAGAAATCATTAAGTGGGCAGGAAGTCAATAAGTGAAAAACCAGGTTCTGTATATCTGGATTATGAGAATCTGTGCACAAACAACAGCCCTCTGTGCTGGTGACATGGCTATGTTACAAAGGTCTAACCACACTTAGTCTCTACAATGTTTGTCTTGCTACTGGCATAGTGACACTAACTTTGAAAAAGTTTGAAAGGCAAATGTCACAAATATTTTTATGCTATATTTCTTAGTTTCCGAAATTCCTGATTAATATGAAACATTAGTGTAATACAATCAAAATCAATACCAACATTTAAAAAATGAAAATTCTTTCTTTTTTTTGTTAGTTATTGATATTTATATTTCTGCCTTGGACTGTGGAGCCAGGGGACTGTGGAGCCAGGGTACCACCGAGTCAGGACTACCAACATGTTTCAGTCAAAGCTTCACAAACGCTAGTGCATCTCCACTTGGGGAACAAACAAATGGCATAACCATGACATCCACATCATTCCTGGCAATGTAACCATGGTGACCTACCTTCAGTTCACAGTCTTCGTTTACAGCAATATTACTTGGCTTTAAATCCTTCAAGAAACGAAACAAATTTTGTTACATGAATTACAGTACATCTATCCCAAGACTATTTCAGTCCTCACAGAAAGCATCTGACTGGGATTTAAACCCAAACCCAAAAACCAAAACACCAGGATTTAAACCCACAACCTAGACAATGGGATTTAAACCCACAACCTAGACACCGGGATTTAAACCCACAACCTAGATTCCGGGATTTAAACCCACAACCTAGATACAAGTATTTGAACCCACAACCTAGATACCAGGACTTAAACCCACAAACTAGATACAAGGATTTAAACCCACAACCTACATACCAGGATTTAAACCCACAACTTAGACAACGGGATTTAACCCTACAACCTAGACACCAAGATATAACCCCAAAACCTAGACACCTGCATTTAAACCCACAACCAAGACACCGGGACTTAAACCCAAAACCAAGACACTGGGATTTAAACCCACAACCTAGAAAACGGGATTTAAACCCACACCATAGACACCGGGATTTAAACCCACAACCTAGATACCAGGATTTAAACCCACAACCTAGATACCAGGATTTAAACCCACAACCAAGACACCAGGATTTGAACCCACAACTTAGACACCAAGACTTGAACCCACAACCTAGACACAGGATTTAAACCCACAACCTAGACACCAGGATTTAAACCCACAACCTATATACCAGGATTTAAACCCACAACCTAGACACCAGGATTTAAACCCACAACCTATATACCAGGATTTAAACCCACAACCTAGACACCGGGATTTAAACCCATAACCTAGACACCATGATTTAAACCCACAACCTATATACCAGGATTTAAACCCACCACCTAGACACCATGACTTAAACCCACAACCAAAATACCAGGATTTAAACCCACAACCTAGAGGCTGGGTTTTGTAACTCACAACCTGGAGACCAGGATTAAAACCCACAACCTAGAGGCTGTGGTTTTTAACTCACAACCTAGAGACCAGGATTAAAAACCACGACCTGGAGAACGGGATTCAATGACACAACCTAGAGGCTGGGATTTAAACCCAAGACCTAGAGGCTGGGATTATTTAAACCCACGACCTAGAGGCTGTTATTTAAAAACACGACCTAGAGGCTGGGATTAAAAAACACGACCTAGAGGCTGGGATTTAAACCCACGACCTAGAGGCTGGAGTTTGAAACTCATGACCTAGAGGCTGGGATTTAAATCAACGACCTGGAGGCTGGATTTAAACCCACGACCTAGAGGCTGGGATTTAAACCCACGACCAAGAGGCTGGGGTTTTGAACTCAGGACCTAGAGACTGGCATTTAAACCCACCACCTAGAGGCTGGGATTTAAACCCATGACCTACAGGCTGGTATTTAAACCTACAACCTAGAGGCTGGGATTTAAACCATTGACAATAGGTGACTGGCATCCATAGAGAAAGCAACTCTGCACAATGAATTCTGGTGACTATGATGACTAGACAACCTACGCCCCCAGTTATACCCATAAAATCAGATGCAGGGAATCAAACTGAGTCTTCAGTCCAGATGGACACATACCCACTGAGCTACCACTAAGCCCATTAACTGAATGGTAGTGGAAAGGTCAACTTACCCTGTGTATTATGCCTGCAGAATGAATGTACTGAAACAAAACAAAAGTAACATTACATAGAGTAGCTGACATCACACTACCACAGCCATCACAGTAAAATAGGGAATCTAAACGATGAGCTACAGGTGAGTCCACATAATTTAAAACACTTCAGGTAATTCTTGAGTGAGTGAGTGAGTTTGGTTTTACGCCGCTTTTAGCAATATTCCAGCAATATCACGGCGGGGGACACCAGAAATAGGCTTCACACATTGTACCCATGTGGGGAATCGAACCCGGGTCTTTGGCGTGACGAGCGGAACGCTTTAACCATTGGGCTACCCCACTGCCCAGGTAATTCTTGAGAGTAAGTGAGGTGGGTGTAACACAACCTTGAATGAAGCTATGGATTCTACACTTATGACATGTTTATGTGAAGAAAGAACTCATCTGCCCTGCACTTACTTTGAGCCCTCTGAGTATCTGGTAGACTAGAAATTGTACATGGTCGTCACTCAGCTTCTGTGTCTTCAGGATGTTGTTGAGGTCAGCACCCATCAATGGTGTCACCAAATATCTGAAATATATAACATTGATACTAGACTCAGTTCAACTATGTACACATGAACATTGAGATTTTTCTGGGTTACATCTTCTTTTTATTCTCTATGTTCATCAAATATCATCTTCTAAAATGCCAATCAAGCATCTATGTACACATAGCTTTTAATTGATATGACTATCAGATCTTTATTACTACACATCACTCCATAAGTCCCATACTCTCACAATAACGAACAAACACTTTGTGGAATGGTGCTGTACCACAAACCGCACAAACACATCACAGTATCCTATGACATAATTTATGAAAATTTGTTGCAAGATTCACTGGTGAAACAATGCATAATCTCCTCTCAGGGATCTTCCATCTCTATATGCCATAACACAATTGCCCGTGAAGATCCGGGTTAGAATTGGTCTTCAGCAAGCCATGCTTGTCGTAAGAGGTGAGTAAAGGGATCGGGTGGTCAGGCTCGCTGACTTGGTTGACACATGTCATCAGTTCCCAATTGTGTGGATCGATGCTCATGCTGTTGATCACTGGATTGTCTGGTCCAGACTCAACTATTTACAGACACCATAGAGCTGGAATATTGCTGAGTGCGGCGTTAAACAACAAACAAACCAAACCAGCAATCATACAATGTCAATTAACAAGCCCAGTGATTGTGAGAGTTTACAATATTTGTTTGCGAAACTAGTTCCGACACATAGCAACGAGCTTTGGTCTTAAACACAGTGTAACACCAGGCTATTGTTGACTGGTATACGCAATGAGTAATACAGCGTGGTCCAGCGTGGTTTAACTCAAACATTGTTTGTGAAGAATAGTCCTAAAAGACCTTAAATACAGCGTGGTTTAACTCAAACAATGTTTGTGAAGAATAGTCCTAAAAGACCTTAAATACAGCATGGTTTAACTCAAACAATGTTTGTGAAGAATAGTCCTAAAAGACCTTAAATACAGCGTGGTTTAACTCAAACAATGTTTGTGAAGAATAGTCCTAAAAGACCTTAAATACAGCGTGGTTTAACTCAAACACTGTTTGTGAAGAATAGTCCTAAAAGACCTTAAATACAGCGTGGTTTAACTCAAACAATGTTTGTGAAGAATAGTCCTAAAAGACCTTAATACTTACACATCCTGGAAGCGTTCAAATGACGTCTGAGGTGTGAATAGATCCAACAAGCCAATGATCTGAAAGAAAAGAGAAAAGACTGATCTGTAAACCTCTGTAGAAGATGAAGATGGGTTAAAAATAATGCTGGTTATCACTCACAACACAGAGATAAAAAAACGGAGCTGAGTAATTGATCAATAAACGATTGTAATTATTAACTACAAAACTCATCTGGGAAGCAACGGGACACAATCATAACATTGTGCAAACAAAACACCAATAAATACCACAACCAAGATGATTGTGGATATTTCCTGTTGAGGCACCATAGAGCTGGAATATTGTTGAGAGCAGCACTAAACACCAATAAATACCACAACCAAGATGATTGTGGATATTTCCTGTTGAGGCACCATAGAGCTGGAAGCAGCACTATACACCAATAAATACCACAACCAAGATGATTGTGGATATTTCCTGAGGCAGCATAGAGCTAAACAGCACTAAACACCAATAAATACCACAACCAAGATGATTGTGGATATTCCTTCACTGAGCTGGAATATTGATGAGAGCAGCACCATAGAGCTGGGATATATTGAGCTGGAATAATGTTGAGAGCAGCACTAAACACCAATAAATACCACAACCAAGATGATTGTGGATATTTCCTGTTGAGGCATAGAGCTGGAATATTGTTACTTTTAAAATTTGTTACCTACAAATACCTGTTTACAAATACTGGCCTGCATCTTTCACATGATGCTGATTTGGAGATTTTACGATCGCTTTCCGACATGATGTGTATTTCAATTTCAAGAATGGCTAGTGACATTTATAACTCACCAGCATGGCAGAGTAAAGGCAAATCAGACAGTCTGGATCATCTCCATGGGAGAGTGAAAAGTGGATTTTTATCATTTTGGGTGAGCTCTTATCTACGCTGCTTTTCAATTTCCATAACTCCCTGTAGGTATTCATTTCGTACTGTTTACACCCATTTTGTCCTGTGTCATTATCAACAAAGTCTTAACTCAAGCCAGGAGAGACAAGAATAGGAACACAATATTAAGTTGGTATTTATGTAGTTCTGACTTAGAAATATGTTTCCACTCAGTAAACTCCCTTGACTAGAGAAGATGAGCCTGAATATGCACGTACAGAGAACCATTGTCAGAGGCAACATGGGCAGCAATCAAAATATATACACAGGTAGATGGACATTCAGCATGGAGAGTGAGTGAGTGAGTTTAGTTTACACCTCATTCAGCTATATTCCAGCTATATGGCGGGCGGTGTGTAAATAATCGAGTCTGTACCAGACTCAACAGCATGAGCATCGACCTACGCAATTGGGAACCGATGACATGACTCAAACAAGCCAGCGAGCCTGACCACCTGATCCTGTTAGTCGCCTCTTACGACAAACATGGGTTACTGAAGATCAATTCTAACCCAGATCTTCACAGGTTCAGCATGGAGAAATTCCACCTACATTTTCATGGTGCATGTGTTTCAACATGCGAATCTCTCGGTACGTCCTCTTGGCATGGATCGCTGTCTGGAAGGGACGGGCAAGCTTCTTGATGGCGACCTTGGTTCCCACCATATTGTCATGCGAGGAGCTGCAACACAAGCACAACACTGTACAGTAACGTAAGGGGAGTTCATGTGGTGGTGAAAAGGTGTTTAACAATGTATCGAGCAACTGACAATGGCTCTGGTGAGGTGAGGTGAGGTGAAATTGGGTTTAATGTCGTGCTTGAGAATATTTCGCTCATATGACGACGTGCATGCGTGTGTATGTGCGGCTGCTTGTACTAGCCCAGACTGAAGCTGGTTTTATAGTGCTAGCCCACTGAGATACCATGCCGCAGTGAAGCATGAATACCCCACTCAGACACATTATACTGACTCCAAGCCGACCAGTCCGTGTTGTACCCATTAATGCCGAGCGCCAGGCAGGGACCAACAAGCACCATATTTTAACGTCTTTTCGTATGACGCGGTCGGGGATCGAACCTTCCGCACTCCGGGCGAACGCTCTAACCACTACACCAAGGAGGCGGTCGACAATGGTCCTGGGATGATGAAGAGGTAAACAGAAAATACAATATCTTGAGTGAGTGAGTGAGTGAGCGTGAGAGCGTAGTCTCAGCAATATTCCAGCAATTTGTTAGAAAAATAATTCCTTGATTCAGCAGCAATTAATAATCAATCACACCCACGACAGTATGTCATACAGCATAAAATGTCATACATCTTCAAATTGAAATTAGTGATTCAATTGAAATTGAATCCTGTCAATTTGCATTTATCAGTGCTGATAAATTCAAGCGTTACCACAGTTTAATCTATACAATTTATCATGACTGTGTCTACCACTATATATGCAAAATTAACTTTAGTAATTTCAACCCGGATCACATCAAATTTATAATATTTCAGCGTCAGGGCAATCCCTGAAGTTGATCAACTTTGTTCTTTCTATCCAGAGGAACTCAATAACCAGGTGATGATAACCTGAACGACCAAATTCTAGGCACAATGACATACAACCAGTTCAGTTAAGTATTTGTGCAACAACCATTTCATTTATGTTTTATTGTTTTTAATTATCTTTTTATTACAGAAAGCCCTGTTACATATAGGGACCCTAGCCTATGGTAGCAGGAGCTCCATTGCACTAAAGAATTAAAAAGAGAATTTCTGAGTTTTTGGTTTTGTTCATCATGTTCATCAGGCATGGACATCCCATTCACTCACACTTTACACTCTAGGTACATATGATGAGATGTTAACAGTAAAATAGACAACACATTGAGGTAAGAAGGAAAATACAATAATAAAAAGACAGTATTGGAAAATCAAACAGCCATTCATCAAAATGTAAAGCATCCATTTTTTATCAAACTTTTGCTGGTTCACTTTTAGCATAATACCTGTTCTTCTCAACATAATACCTAGCCTGTAAAACTCTTAAAATGGATCAAACTTAAAACATTGTTGGCAAGTTTGCATGTATAGATATAAGACTACACTAGCACCAGTAACAAATCAAAAGTTCCATCTGTGCAACAAGCATTACATTAAGCTGTTGTGACAAGCATGGAAACCACGGTTTGTTGGATACCAGGGTCCTGTTCAACCCAAGAATCCAAACGAAGGTGAAAAGTACTGCAGATTAACTTATAGAGATTAACCTGGAAAGACCTTTAGCATGAATAATCATGGTTTTGATTACACACAACAGGCTTGACAAGGCCTCAGTATGTGAAACCTTATACAGACACCCTTGGCTTGAAATGAAAATTAATGCATTGTGTACAGCTCTCAGGTGAACTTGAATACAGTGGTGTTATCATCCAACTGAGTACTTAATCAAGATAATCGCTGGTTTCACTATCAAACTATTAACTCAATAAAATACTTAAAATTACCTGAAGTTAAAACTAAGAAATTTCCTGGGTTGTTGAGCATTATCACAAACCTGCCTCATCCTATCTATTTTCATTTTCAAAATGTTTAACATTAGCCGTAGAGATGGGTCCCCCATTACACGTACAAGTGACTGTCTGAGAGGGAGTCACACGTACATGTGACTGCCTGACCAAGGATTAATGAATTCTGCATGTCACACAAAAACAGGTCTACAAGTGTTATTTATCAAAATAATGAAACAAAATTAAGTTCACTCATTCAAATTTGTACAAGTTACTGAAAATCATGAATGATAAATTATAAAAAGAAAATGTAGTTGGAGAAATTTGGTCAAACATGTACAAATTTTGAGCAACATTAACAACAAATTTGTTTCATAAACATAAATTTAGTATTTTCTTAAATCTTATTTATTGTAGTTTCAAGATATATACCCATGGAAACGAATAAGGGAACGCATGAAAGTACAAGTGTTCCTTTATTCTTTTCAAGGTTTCTTCACAAGGTATGTATTGCACTGTGGGTGAAATTCTGGGAATAGATAAAGGAACACATATACTTTCATGTGTATATATGCAGTTTTTGAGGCACTGTTAAGTATGTACTAGTGTTGGGAAAATGGTTAAAATCTCATAATTGATGATTGATTCATTACAACCAATCTATCATCGAAAATAATTGGTTAGCATTCTTTCGAACATCTTTAATGACTGACTGACTGAGTCTTTTTCGAGCAACATGGGTACTTGGGCTTCATTGTGCCCATGTGGGGATTCAACGGTCTTTAACCACTAGGCTACCCCACCGCCCCCGAACATCTTTAAGGATGACTAGTATGTTAGGAACATAAATATCCTGGAGTCTTTACGATAAATTCAATCATGACAAGGAACCAGCTGGTACTGGTAGCGCTTATGAAATTTAACAGACAAAACCAACCTTGTGGAAAATATTGTTAAAGCAAACAAGTGTTCCAAAATTGTTTGTGTTCGATTATGAGAACACATGATCGATTGCTTGGTCATTCGGTCATTGTGACCAATCTTCGATTATTTCATTTAATCGGACCACCACTAGTATGTACTGTTTTGTACACATTAAAAAAGGCCATGTACCTATTACCCTTAATTCCACACAATAGGATAGCATCTCTTAAGGTGAACTGTTAACATTCAAACAGGTAGCAACATTGTCTGAGGTTTGGGGACCAATGCTGATGTTCATGGTTAAGGAAAGCTGACAGGGAGAAATAGATGGGTGGTTAAACCGACAATAGTCCTTGTTTTGACAGATGTTGGGATGATGAAGAGGCAAACAGGAAATACAATATCTACAAGTTACAGATGCGGAATCAGGAATTTGAAAGGGGGGATTTCACAATACCACAAAATCAGATGATAGTTTGAAACTTCTCTCGACAAACAGATGTTTTTGTTTGGCTTTATTTTTGGTGAGTGTGTTGCATGTGCATGGTTTGTATGTGCATGTATGAGGTTTTTTGTGTGTGCATGTATGTGTATGTGTTGTTTGCGCATGTATGTGCATGTGGTGTGTGTGTGTTGTGCATATGCATGTGTGTATATGGTTTGTGTTGTGCATATGCATGTGTGTATATGGTTTGTGTTGTGCATATGCATGTGTGTATATGGTGTGTTGTGCATATGTATGTGTGTATATGGTGTGTGTTGTGCATATGCATGTGTATATGGTGTGTGTGTTGTGCATATGCATGTGTGTATATGGTGTGTGTTGTGCATGCATGTGTGGGGTGTGTGTGAGTATGCATGTGCACCTGTGTATGAGAGTGAATGTGTGTACTTCTGTATTTGTAGAGTACACTGGAAGGATGATGACTCACTGTCGATCTCCATATTATCATACGAATCAAAAGGAAATATTGACAGTTGTTGACAGTCATGAATACGATAACAACTAATTGCATCTATAGATGTCTCAGCAGCAGGAACAACAATCAGGAGCAATTCAGCTCTAGAGTAAACTGTATTTTGCAAAACCTTTTTAACAACAAATAAATACACAACATTTGTTCTTATGAACATGATAAAAGCGATTGTGTCATGTCTTTTCCCATTCTCTCTCAGTAATAATAAAATATACAGATATTCTATGTTGTATAAATAAAACGAATATTTTCTGAGACATTTTAAGAGACACTAAAATACATGAACAACATTTTTAAAGCATTCAAATCTAACAACACTTTTTGTTAAAATAGAGCATAAATGGCAAATTTTTGCTCCTATTTTGAAACAAGCCAGTTTCATTAGCCTTGAATAGCTGTAGAACTGTTGATGTAGCAAAAACCTATACATATTCATTGTTTCATTACATTCACAGTTTCATTTACACAGAACAATTGTATGTATAGAGACCAGTGAATACAAGCCCTCTCACACTGTGCCAAAGAAACCGATTGTCCCAGGAAGCAGAAAATCTTTTGAGCTAATAATTTTGAGCATCTACTTACAAGTTTTTAATGCATTCTTTATACATTTACTATCTTGGTCCAGACTATTGGGTCTTTTCACACAAATAAGTAGAGTAAAGAAAACATTTTTACGCTTTAATTTGGGCTAAATTTCAGTAGTCCTCATATCTCTTCTGTTTGTGTGCTGACCTAAACAAGCCAAAAATATGTCACACAAACTCACTGCGATTTACACGTCTAACAATAGCATTTTAAGCGTTTTTCACTACTGTAGATTGGGGCCTAATTTTGATCAGTAAATAAACATCCTTAAACATAACCAAACAATGGTATGCAAGTTGACAGACAGATAACTGGGGTTTTTATCATTTTAACTGAGTTAAATTCTAGATACATTCCTTAAGCATGTTAACATGGCTAAAAGCTTTTCCTCAATCATGTTTATATTGATCCCGTTGTCTTCTTCTATCGACGAACAAGGTGAAACACAAAGAAATTCTCTTTGAAACATACTCATCCATTGTTTAACTGCAGTATAATAAGTTTTATCAGGTTAACAGGGACATTCTTAATCCCTGTTTGGGAATATCTGCTGACATTTGCTGGTTCACACATTAATATTCGGCTCCAACATGTCCAAGCCTGCAACAAAAGTCACTTAAAAACCTCAAATTGGAATTAAGCTTCCCAATATATTGTAATACTATTGCTTAGAACATATATGAAGTTATTCCTTAACTGCCTGCCAAGAGAACTTAGTTTGAAATCCTTGACAAATCACTGATATGTATATATTGTATGGTACCTCCTGCCTGTTTTGATGAAGAAAATTTTATTAATAAATAATCAGAAGACAAGGTAGACAGAAAAAAATTCAATTATTTTTTTAAAATCTCAGCATTCTGGCTTTAAGACAGTTATAATAGGAGCAAAAGCCAAAGACAAGTTTCTGATAATTCAATGCCACACAAATGTTTCAGGTGACTTGTGTCGGATGTTATCAATACAATCAACTTGACATGCTTGAAGGACCTGGTTAAACACCAGGTAATGGACATTCAGCCTGTTCAGTGGGGCACGTTCATACATCATTAACCCATGTCTACTGACTTACACTCTGACAATAACACTTCATGGTGATGAAGGAAGTTAAATGATAAGAAATAATAACTGCACACCGCAACTATGACAAGCACATCATCGTGCAGCAAAAAACGCGAACGGATGCATTATCATAAAGCTGGAAGTTACAATAAGCATGATAAACATAACAATCACCTCGACTTCCCTACATTCCTGTCTCGCCACAGTGGGAGTGAACACTCTGTACTGTGTGACTTCAGTGACTCTCCCACTTACATATATTTGAACAAGTCAGGAGATAAACACTGAGATCAACGCTTTCATTTCCATGCATTTTTAACTGTTTGAGCTATGGCGGGAAGGGCTGACAGCTAAATCAAAATGGAAATACCACCCATCAATGTCTCACTTGTGTGAATAATAATTCTTTATTAAAGACAATGCGTTAACAAAACAAATTTCATATGTCCTTAAAAATATGTTTGGCGTTACCCTTCATGAAAATGTTTAGCCCAGATCAAAATATTCACAAATATGTCAGTAAGATTTTTTCTGGCAGTTCAGTTTGGTACAGTTTGATAAATTTACCCATGAACTGGTTCATTGTGTTAAGGTTGCAGTCCCTTGTAACCACAACCACTGCTGAACATCTTTCCATCAGCTGTGTTTACACTAAGTGTATGCACTAGAATTGTAATTTGTAGTTTGATATGAAAAGCCACTTTTCCAAGAGTTCACACTGACCTATAAATACATAATAAATGTCAACGTGCAAGGATAAGTATCTTTACCACCTGCATAATGGTGCAAAATCAGACGAAAGGCATAATTTTTCCTGGAGGAAATAAAAAATATTAAATAATCTTGAGGAAACTCAGCTTATAAAAAAAAGAACAAATGTGATAAAGGACTTAATTACAATAATGTCAAAGACCTTTTTTAATCAAATTCATTAAAAATTATTGTTGTTTAATCATGTTTTCATTTAACACCTACTTGCAGGAACATCTGTTGCATACAGTCATGATATGGTTGATGAACAATAGGTGGGCAGTAAATTAACAATTATACAAATATACATCAACAAGTATGGATTAAAATGTTGCAAACATTTCTGCTTTGTCAGGCATTTCATGGAACTTTGAAAATTTCAGGAATGTTTTGAGAGCACCACAGGCCATAACAGCTTGACAAGCTGAGCAATGACACCCTACAGAAAATAACAGCAGTTAAAGTGGACGCATTTTAGTGAGAATGTATTTAGATTCAAACATTACTTTGTGTGTCCAGATACATTATCACAAATTATACTGGCATTGTGCCCACTGATTAGCTATGGTGAGATGCCTTGTCACAATATTGTAGAGCATAAGCCAAATGTTACACCCTTGTTGACAGGAACAGGGCTAAACAACCAGGAGCAGGCTATAGTTTATACTGCAGGCACCCCTGGACGTTTGTTAATTAGATCACACATACAAAGGTGGTTGTACAGCTTGACTCTATTCAAAGTGTAGCAGAGGTTACAGTCAATGCTTATCTAAAATGTATGATTTCGTGCATGTCTAAATTTACAGCTGATTTCGCTGGCGTAAATAAACACGATAACGACCTTGATCACAATTATACAGGTTACATGCGTGTGGGGAGCTAATGCAAGCGCAATTTCAAAATTGGCAAAGTTCTAATAATAACTGCGTGCATAATTCCTGATTCCACCTTTGTCAAAATATGCTGCGCACCAGTCACACCCCGTATCGCGGATACAACCACCGAGAGGGAAGACGCTTGTCGTGGATTAAGTTATGGCGAAGTGTTTGACCTAGATTTTTCATTCAACGATATGCACCATGTCGATTTTCGTTCAAAACTATATTAAGTGCAAAGGGTTTATCGGGAAAAGATGTCGTATACTACAAGGGCTAAGATAGGGGTCTAGAGGTCACTAATAGGTAGCACTTACCACACTTGCCCGTACGCTCCCATCCCAACCGGAGACAGCATTTGATATCGGCTCGGCACCTCCCATACCGTCTTATTCAGCTCGATCTGAGAAAAACCCTCCTTGATCGGATCAGACATTTAGGCCATACAAAGTAGCACGTGCGCTGATGGCAATTGTCGATTTCAGCTGGAAATATTAAATCCAGGCGTCTTAGCGACCTAAACTTGAGTCTACCTGTGCGTGCAGAGGTGAATCGTGAATCAACGGGCACTTGCTTCCGGATTCCGACAAACAGACGGAAGTGAGGCTCGTTACAAGGGGCGTAATGCAGTCGAATTTCAGAAGCGCCAAATTTGAATTTATTTATTATATAGTAACCACCAGTGAGGAATCTATCCACAAATGTAGTGTCCACATTAGTTGTCTTTATTCGTTCAGAGATGGAAATTGCCATTCCTTTAGCCAAGCAAAACAACGTCAGTATTATGTCAAACAGTATTAATTGTTTCATTCCCTATCAATCTACTGTAAAAGAAACACTAAAATAGTCACATAATTAATTATTCGAGGTTACTGTATGATATAATGTATATTATTTCAAGAATGGCATGAGAAATTCTGAAATGGCGATAACCATTACAGTTAGTTTTGAGAAAACATCCATTTGTACTGCCATATAAACACGGTCGGCGGCAGTGAACAGGTTGGACACATCGGCGAACAGCATCATAATTAATTATGTTTCATTAATTTAACGAATGGCAGAGTAATTTTTAAAATACCGCTACAATATGGCGATAACTGTCCGGCAGCCAGTACTAGTCCAGTACTGTCAACTAAATTAGTGTTAGTTATCCAATGCTTGTCGTAAGAGGCGACTAACGGGATCGGATGGTCAGGCTCGCTGACTTGGTTGACACATGTCATCGGTTCCCAATTGCGCAGATCGATGCTCATGCTGTTGATCACTGCATGGATTGTCTGGTCCTGACTCGATTATTTACAGACCACCGCCATATAGCTGGAATATTGCTGAGTGCGGCCTTAAACAACAAATGACAGCTGACTAATCAGCTATTATGTTGTTATTGATTCTCCACTAAATATCCTTTGTGAGCGCGGCGTTAAACAACAAACAAACATAAAATCAGAATGAACTTTTAGCCGAAAAAGGTTTTAGAGTATTAATCGGGATGGAATCCCTTAGGTAATCAGGCATTCCCAGTTTTATTTGAGATATAACTCAAGTTGATGGGATGGTTTGGTTTATTTCAGTCCCCTGTCCTTCGAACTGGTCTCAGAATGAAGCTTTGACGGTACATCTGCTCCCAGGGAGAATAGAAGACGCTGTAGATTATCCCTGATCTGCCCAAGATCGTCATCACTAGGAAACGCTGGACAATCCTACATTCGCTGAATGAAGATTCACACAGTAATCTACTCACACAAAGTGGCAGTCAATTCTCTACTAGGGACATGGTCAATCAGGGCCGACGTGGTTAACGTTACAGCAGACACTGGGTTCGAGGCAGCTGCTTCTATGTATTTTACTCGAGATAAACACAAGGCCTATTCAAAAATAAAACAAGGCCGTTTCTGAAGGGGCCATATATTCCACGGACCCTTGCAAACAATACACGCTGGAGAAAAAGAACAATTGAAAAGCAGTATATTCATTGTTCGGCTCAACTCAAATCTAATGTATTCATCGCATACTATAAATACAATAGGTTCAACTGACAACAAATTACCATATTACTAACATTGACAAGACGATGTCTGGTAAATTTGCAAAACTCGCCAGAACAAATGTTCGGATATCTATAGGTTTCTTTTGATTATCCTCAATTACCATCCCCAAATCCGCAGCAAAAACAATTCCTATAAAAGTGTTTGGGATCAGCAGAGGACATGGTAATTGAAGGAGAAAACACCCTTTGTTGTTTGTATCACCTAACTGCATCACATATCTCCCTGCGAGTATACTTCGATCAGGAAGTAGGCAATGTATCACAGTGAATGCTTAAGATAGCATTTACACTGCCCTTGAAGAAAATTGTATGGGCTTGGTGCATCTGGACCGTGGTGTCGGTTTGTTGTCAACTGGAATCTCCTCAGCTATTGTGCTTGGGATGAAAACAGTCGCTTCTTCTCTGGGTGTCGGGAACTCAGGTCTTGCGGCTTGCAGAAGAAAACGATAAAACACAATCAATTATGTGTGCTGGCTGATTCCTAAACAGCGGAGCCTGATAAATTATATATCCGACGAGGAGTCTGGGCTGTTCTCTCTGACATTGAAACCCTCAGTGAGAAGGATGACATTCAAGAAAACAAACGTCTGGAGTGAGAAAAAAACATTACTGGAAAAGGGATATTGTAAGTAATGTTGCGTACAACGGCAATGACACTGGCTTCTGAATTCAGGGTTACAATATATAATTTTCTAGACCATGCAAACCATGACAATAACATTAACAAAACGCATTTTTGCAGCCTCTATCCAATCTTATTAGAGCTATGGGTTAGCTAAGCCATAACTAGCCAATTTCCTTTGAGGAATTGGCAAAGTCAATTACTTCATGGGCGTCACAATATGGTTGTCAAAAGAAGGGAACTACAACTGGATTGAGAATGCTATGGATGTCGCCGTTGAGATTGTCCAGTACTGTCACCATGTAAACCTTCCAGTAAGGGTTATTTGCTCCCCAGACGTTGACAATACCTCCACGGGAGAGTGTGTGAGATGTTCGCCAGTAGATATGCGGTGTTTCTGTGCCTAAAAACAGGAATATACTCTGGTTGGATCTCAGATTATCGCTCGTTGTTGCGAGATACCAGTGCAGCCATACCAAGCACCATGTCAAATGATGTCTCATGTGCCAGGTGCCTTTAAAAAAGGTTTGATGACCCTCTTGGACTCCAGTCCAAGATTTAAGCCGATTCCGGGAGCCGTTGCTTCCGATTCCCGCACGTTGCAGCCGCTGTGTGCTTCAGAGACTGCCCTATACTTGTAAGCCCTAACGTCATATGTCTGTCGATATTTTCGAACAAGACTGCAAACAACACAACCACAATATCTAGGTTGTACAAATAACATTGAAGGACAAGTCTATATCGTACATGCCAATGACACGCCATCTTACAGTACGCCCAATAGCCATATTCAAACATTGTCAAATGCATGTCTCACCACTTTATATGCCTCCATTTGTGAGCCAATGGTGTGTTAAGTACAACCCGGAAGTATAGTGATGCACGTGCAAATCTCGGTATGTTCGAGAGACGCAGCTGGCGACAAACACGACACGACAGCTGTGTTGAAACCTGTTCACTACCTCCGGATGTGCTTAGTTCCGTTCCTTATGTAATGATGTGCTACAAACAACACTTCAAGAAAACAATATATGGATCTATATGGAAACGTTTCTAGTTATCACACATAAATTACGCCCATTTTGTCGTTGCCTTCTAAGAAATGTCTATCAAATTGTTTTCCAAACACCATATACTCGTGCATCGTTCAGCTCTGCAATAACCCGTGGAGAAATTAAGATATTTATACATATACTACTGGCATTACTTGATGCTATGCCATTTTTAATGCCAATTTATAATAACATGATTTGTGGTGTTTTCCTGAATCACTGTTTAAACGTTGACAGGATAATATTGAAATCCGTTTCATTTGACACTACAGTAGGCATCGTGACAGATGTGGAGATGTGGTATCACAAGTCAGTTTACAAATTCAGCATCGTGTGTGTTTACCATTGGCGTTGGTGCAGGCTTGACAACGACGACGCGTAGACGACACTAAGCTATTGAAGAAAACTTGGGGAATGTCTGAACTAACGCTTGTCCACATTCAGCTAACGTCAATGGCTGATTCTGGGCTTGACGTATAAACGTCACTCCATTTCATCTCAAGCGTGCTCGATAGGGGACAGGTCCGGAGAAACAGCTGGCCAGTGGAGTACCGAGATGTTCTGCTGTCTTAGGAATCTATCACACCACTAGCGACAAGTGGAAGCTTGCAAAAAAGTTCATTGTGCACATAATGCACGTGCCACGTGCGATACGTGACATCAAATTTCATGCAAAGAGCTTTGCCACATGTTTCCATGCTCAACACACTTCATGTGACTCACCCAAAGGTTGAAATAAAATATAACAATCAGCAATATTCAAGCTATTTGTCTTGATCAGGAAAAACAGTGATTGATTAGGATTGATGTAAAAAAATGAGTGAGTTTAGTTTTACGCCACACTCAGCAATATTCCAGCTATATGGCGGCGGACTGTAAATAATCGAGTCCGGACCAGACAATACAGTGATCAACAGCATGGGCATCAAATCTACACAATTGGGATACGATGACATTTGTCAACCAAGTCAGCGAGCCTGACCACCCGATCCCGTTAGTCGCCTCCTACGACAAGCATGGGTTAATGAAGATCAATTCTAACCCGGATCTTCATGGGTAGAACACAAATGGAGGTATGACAAACACCCCCTGAGTAAGACCCTCAACATCCATTGAAATAACACGTGAGACTGAGTCAATCCGATCGATACAACAATTCTTAGCTGAAAATAAGCGGGACGCTTCAATCCGGCATTTGGCAACATTTGCTATTTGTTGGGTGTTGATGTTAACATAATAGTGGACGTTTATAGTCAGTCTGTCATCTCTACAGGCGGGCAACAACAGGGGCCGACTACGCTTTGGACACAACGACGTTAGTGAGATAGATATTCATATTCATTTGGTTCAACGAAATAATTTTCAGGCTGCTTCTTGGACAGCCAATAACATCTAATCTTACACCCGATTAGTGCAAGGACAGTGTCGAGTCACCTCCGAGACGGCAGCAAATACCTGCAAACTTGCTGATGCGGCTTAAAGCCACATTTTCTCACTCCCGTTCGAGAGTATAACCTTCAAACACGATTACCATTTCGCTGGCACGTCTTCTGACTGCGCTCCTGTTGTGGTCACGAAACACCTGAGGTCCAGGTTACATCACATGAATTATTCATCTTCACAGGTGAGTACGGATTTCAGAGTGACATCAGTGATGACTGTCACCGTGTTTGTTGACGTCAGGAGGAACATTACAATGACGCGCGGTACTAAACATTCCACATTCTGTGGGTAGAGTGTAACTGTTGTGGGAGGCTTCACTACACATTATTACTGGCAAATTGACAGGTGCGCGGTCCCGTGTCGTCTGTCATATCATACAGACCCTGCAACAAATATACCCAATGCTGCCCATAC